AAAGAGAGGATCTTGATGTATGGCAAATGATCGATGTGGAGTGATGAGAGAGAGTAATATGGGAATGTATTTATAGGGGGTAGATTAGACCAAGTTTGAAAATTGGGGTGTAGAAAATAAAATAAGTTAGGTTTTTGGATGGTATTTTTGTGGCAAAGGGTGCACTAATTAACAAGAGTCAATTCAGACTTCTGAATGGTATTTTCTTGTTCATAAGTCGTTTCACAATACAATTAGTTAGAACAAGAAATTCGATTTATAAAATAATTAAAATGAATTAGATTATATCGAATTAAGTGTTAAATTTTCTAGTGGAATTAGACCTGCTATTAACGTCGGTTTATCTGTCAGTCGTGTTGGGTTTGCCCGCTCAGTTGAAAACTATGAAACAAGTGTGCGGTAGTTCAAAACTAGAATTGGCACAATATGGTGAAGTGGCCGCCCTTGCTCAATTTGGGTCGGACCTGGATGCCGTGACTCGGGTATTACTCAATAGACACTACAACAAAATTGAGTTTATAGGACACCCCCAATCTCTAAGTGTCCCAATAGACCTTTTTATAAGACTTAATTTATAGGACCAAAATATAAAATGTCATATCTAAAGGTGTTGCAATAAGTTTATATGACCTTTTTGGGCTTCTTAACAAGTTTTTTAGGACATTTTTAATACAAAGTGTCGCATTAACAACTTTATAGGACACTGTTGAGAAAGTGGCCTATAAACTCAATTTTTATAGGATATTTGTTTTTATATGACAGTTTTTCAAATAGAAAAATGTCCTAAAAAGCTTATTACGACGTCAAAAAATGTCATATAAACTTATTACAACACCTTTAGATAGGACACTTTTTTTTTTGGTCTTATAAACTAAGTCCATTAGGACACTGAAAATTTGGGAGTGTCCTATAAACCCGATTTTATTATAGTGACTACAATATTCATCACTTCCAATTGAAAAACAAATTGTAGTCATTTATGCAGCTGTCATTGGATTCTTTTATAGTCTAGTTTTGAAAAACCTTGTTACAATTAATAATCAACTGATTCAAGTAATGATACGATATTCATTAAACGGATCATGTCGACATTAATTATGATAAATTAGTTAACGACATAAAAAATGGAATCCGCTCTCATGTTATATTTTCATTTCATGTTATCAACTAGTAAATTTAATCATTCGTTTAATGAATATTTTGTATTTACCGTTTAATCTTCCTTTTAGTAGTTTACTTGATAAGATTACGTTTATATGTTGAATAAAATGCATATCTTGTATATATAATTGTGTTACAATAAGTTGTTAAGACGAAATTAAGTGATTAGAAATTTTTTATCGACAAGTTGAACGATGACTCAAAAACTAAATCGTCGTATTTACGTTTATGTATGACGGTTTTGAAAAGTGTTTGATTATCTCTTTTATAAAATTTGTTATATATGACATTTTTAAAAAAATATTATATATAAAGGGTAATAGGAGGATTTATTTCTTATGTCTTATTAGGGTGTGTTTAGTGTCAGGACAGGACAGGACAGGACAGGACTGGACAACTGTTCAACGTTTGGTAAGATAAAACTGGACAGAATAGAACAAGTAAAATGACCAATTTACCCTTGATGAGTTGTTTATTTTAATTAATCTATGTAATTTATTAAATTATAATAGAATAATTATTTTTTATAACAAAATATATCATTTCAAGTTTTTGTCAAAACAATTAAAATGACACCAAATAAAAAGTTTATATAGTTTTCTACATTATTTTTTATTATTTATATATAATAGATTACATAAATTAATAAAAATACAGAAACCGTATAAAAATAACATTTTGAGGACAGTAAAATGAAAGTTTAAGAAACATAAAATACAATAAATAAAATTTAAAGAATGAATAAAATGTAAAAAAATAGACCTATTTGATGTTTTAGAATTGAATTAAGTTTTATTTTGAGGTTATATTGATAAAATATAAGTGTGTTCCACTATGTTCCATGGGGTATTAGGATAGGGGTGGAACAGGCATGTTTCACTTTGTTGCTGTTTGTTCCACATAAAATTCATACCAAACATGGGACAAAGATCCCTATCATGTTCTGTCATGTCTCTGTCCAGTCTACCAAACGCATCCTTAGGTTTTCAATTTCGTTATAACAATTTATTATAGCGTAATTATTTATAACCAATAATTGTTGGTCTAATTATAAACTCGAAGTCCTAAAAAATACTTTATTGGCCTGGGATGCCCAAAGACGGTTAGACATCGTATAGCTAAAACATCCATTTTAGTTTGTTATAGTTATCGTTATCTAGCTTCGAAGGGATTTTATCAATCCTAAGGTTTTTAAGAATGTGAATACGTGACCCTGATATGTCACTTCGAGACATGTTTGGCAAATATTCTAGCTTAGGTAGACTTCAGATCTCGATTTTGATCTCAATAGGTTTAGTTTAGTTCGATTGAATATCAATCAGAAGATGAATAACTTTTACAAACACGTATCTGGAACTCTGATGCCATGTTAATTATAAACAATATTTGATTGGAGATCGGTTATTCAACCATTTATGTAGCGTCGTATATGCATTTACAAATTTCATTTAAATATATATATATATATATATATATACATATATATATATATATATACATACACATACCATTACGATAGAACAATATCTAAATTTATTGGCTTAAGCTTATAATCAAAATTAATTAAATGATTAACATATAGATACAATCAGAAGACAAATGAATGTAAACTTAGTTACATATCAACTTTGTAAATAAATGAATTGGTATTTGCAAGATTTGCTTTAGCCGACTAATCTTATGTGTTTTATGCATAATTGCACATTCCATAAGTGCAAGAATTTCCTCTTTTGCATCTATTGTTGCACCCTCCACAGTGACGTTTATCCATCATCGGATTCACACATTTCCCCTTGCAACAAATCTCTTGGCGCTTGCATTTCTTCCCACACATCCCACAGTTTTGTTTATCGGTCATGACGTTGACACATGTCTTCTTGCAACAGTCCGGACCTGGGCTGCCTTTCGCACGACAAAGTCTAGGGTTTTTGTTGCATTTCACCAATCCTGTTGAGTGTTGGGCGAGGAACCGGCTAGACCCTCTTAGCGAAACAGAAGTGGGAATAACATCTTGCTCGTCATCTTCCATTGGTGTTGCAGAAAGATTGAGAGCTAAAGCCATGACAATGATTAGGGTTATCAAGATTTTCTTTAGATTATGCATGGTGTTTTAGAGAGAGAAAGAGAGGATCTTGATGTATGGCAAATGATCGATGTGGAGTGATGAGAGAGAGTAATATGGGAATGTATTTATAGGGGGTAGATTAGACCAAGTTTGAAAATTGGGGTGTCATGGTAGTCTAGGGTTGAAAATAAGTTAGGTTTTTGGATGGTATTTTTTGTAGCAAAGGCTCCACTAATTAAAAAAGAGTCAATTTTGACTTCTAAATGGTTTTTCTTATTCATTAAGTTGTTTCAAAGTACAATTGAAAATTTGATTTATCAAATGATTGAAATGAATTAGATTATGTTGACTTCTAAATGGTTTTTAAATAATAATATAATTTTTATAAAGATAATAACTAAGTATTCTGTTAGAACTCAATTATTATCTTAATTATATTTTAGATTTTATATTTAAAATAAGAATTTTATCATGTATTTGATTATGTTTATCTACAGTTAGTTATACGAATTCAAACATAGAGCTTAATAAGTTGTATTTAAACACAATTTAATTGTAATCTTGAATTTTAAGTAATATGCATCAATAAGCAGTATTTCATGTATAAAAGATGGGTTTTAAGAGTTTTTGTCAAATACTTTATAATATAGTATAGATAGGTTCAATAAATGTAATTCTTTTAATATTCTTTTTAATAGTATATTTATCAAGATTAAGTTTATAGGTTCAATAAATGTATATCCTATATAGTGACGTTACAACAGTCATAAGGGTAAGGGTAAGATGTGACTCGTCGAACTTGGAGAGTTGCATTTGTGATAGCGAGTAGTTAGAGGATTTTGATGTTTAGACTATGAAGAGTTTAGTCTATTTGATGTAATATAAACTCATTAGCGGGTTGCTATAAACTTTTGAGATGATATGCTCAACTTGATACTTCGGACCATGGTATCACATTGCAAATGCTATTTTGTTCATATGAACAAAATATCATATCAATTTTTACGCTTTTAAATTGTTATATTGTTGTAATTTTCAATATGATTGAATATTTACAACAAAATATCATATCAATTTTTACGTTCTCACTATAACAAAATCGGTTTTATAGTACGCTCCTAGTTTCTAAGCGTCCTAATAAACCTCTTTATAGGACTTAGTTTATATGACCAAAAAATAAAGTGTCATTTCTAAAGGCATTGTAATAAGTTTATATGACGTTTTTTGACGTCGTAATAAGTTTTTTAGGACACTTTTAATATAAAACGTCTCATTAACAAATTTATAGGACACTATTTGAAAAACTGTCCTATAAAAACAAGTGTTCTATAAAAAGTTGAGTTTATAGGACACTTTCTCCTATAAAGTTGCTAATGCGACGCTTTGTATTAAAAATGTCCTAAAAAACTTGTTAAGACGTCCAAAACGTTATATAAGCTTATTACAACGCCTTTAGATGAGACATTTTTTTATTTTTGGTCTTATAAATTAAGTTCTATAAAACGATCTATTGGGACGTTTAGAGATTGGGGGCATCCTATAAACCCAATTTTGTAGCAATGTCTTCTTGTAGATCAGAAATAATTCTATTTTTGATTCTCCAAAATTATAGCAATGTATACTTTTCCAGATTATAAATTGATATATACGTTACATACAAATTTCATTCAACAAAAAAACACTATTACAATAAAAAGGTTAAATTTATTGGCTTAAACTTATAATCAAATTTAATTAAATGATTAACATATGGATACAATCAAACGACAAATGAATGTAAACTTAGTTACATATCAACTTTGTAAATAAATGAATTGGTATTTGTAGTATTTGCTTTAGCCGACTGATTGTATTTGTTTTATGCATAGTTGCACATTCCGTAAGTGCAAGAATTTCCTCTTTTGCATCTATTGTTGCACCCTCCACAGTGACGTTTATCCATCATCGGATTCACACATTTCCCCTTGCAACAAATCTCTTGGCGCCTGCATTTCTTCCCGCACATCCCACAGTTTTGTTTATCAGTCATGACGTTGACACACGTCTTCTTGCAACAGTCTGGACCTGGGCTGCCTTTTGCACGACAAAGTCTCGGGTTCTTGTTGCATCTCATCAAGCCTGTTGAGTGTTGGGCGAGGAACCGACTAGCCCCTCTCAGTGAACCAGAAGTGGGAATGACATCTTGGTCATCCTCTTCAATTGGTGTTGCAGAAAGATTGAAAGCTAAAGCCATGAGAATGATTAGGGTTATCAAGATTTTCTTTAGGTTATGCATGGTGTTTTAGAGAGAGAAAGAGAGGGTATGGATGTATGGGAAATGAAGGTTTTGGTGGAGTGATGGGAGAGATTCATGTGTGAATATATATTTATAAGGGGTTTGATTTGACCAAGAATGGAAAATGGGGTGTCATAGTTGTCTAAGGTTGAAAAAAGTTAGGTTTTTGGATGGTATTTTGTAGCAAAGGCTCCACTAAAAAGAGTCATTTTGACTTTGCATGGTATTTTTCTATGCATAAGTCTTCAAAATACAATAAAAATACAAATTATTTTTATCAAATGATTAAAAAATTAAATTATGTAATTATAAAGTTTTGTTATGCATTCAAACCAGTGCTAATTAATGGAGCAAATTCAAGATTTTACCAGTTAAATTATTGTTGAGTTGTTATTACGTTTTACGGTGCAAAGGCCATTAGGATGATTAGGGTTATCAAGATTTTTTTAGATTGTTCATGGTAAGGATGCTAAAAAACCCGACCAACCCGATCAATCCAACACGAAATAACTTAACCCGAAGCAACTCGATGACTAATCGAGTTGTAAAATTTTCAAATCGTAGGTATATATTTGGTTACTAGTATTTGAACCCAACCTAACCCGATGAATCTAATATTCTTTTATTTATTGGATTTAATATGATTGTTGAATTTCTATTAATATATACATTATACAATTACACTATCACATACGTTCTTCGTATACACATATTTTCAATCTATTCACATCTCTACTTAACTCATTCGTATATATGTCCAGTAACTATATATATATATATATATATATATATATATATGCAGATTGAGAAAATTAACTGAATGTGATATATGTAAGAAGTATGAATAAATTGTATCAAATGGTTGATGATGTAAAAGAAATTATGAGCAGATAAATAAATATTCAAGGTTTAAAGAATATTTTAATGTACCAAATTATCAACCTGACCAACCCGTACGGTTTGAGTTAGATTGGATTGCACTTTGGTTTGGGTTGGATTGGGTTAAGATTTTTCAAACCACAAACAATGAAATGGGTTGTTCAAATGTCTTGAACCCGATCAACCCAACTCATTAACAATCGTATACATGGATGAGATTGATATGAACACTTGTGCAAATTGGGGGATTCTTGGAAGTTAATAGGATTGAAATTTAGGTTTTTCGATTGTATTTTATAGCCAAAGACTCCACTAGAAAAGTCAACTTTGACTTTGGATTATATTTTTTTTCTTAATGAAGTTTATGTATTTTACACTATAATAAAATTCGATTTATATGAAGCATAAAATATTTAAGCGTTTTAATAAAAAAAAAAAATATATGACTTAAATTTATAGGATCAAACTAAAAAGCATCATATCTAAAAGTGTTAAATTATATAATGCTTTAGGCGTTTCAACAAGTTTTCTAGGACGTTTTTAAATAAAGTGTTATATTAGTTATTTTATACAACAATATGTAAAAAAATGGTCTTATGAACATAAATGTTCTATAAAAAAGGGTAGTGCTCAATAAAATAGCTAATACGACATTTTATTTTAGAAGCGTCCTAAATTTTTTGTTAAAATGCCCAAAAACGTGCTATAAATTTATGGTAGCACTTTTAGATAAGACGATTTATATTTTACTCGTATAAAATTACGTTTCTATAAAGGATTCTATTAGAACAGTTAGACATTATAGGCGTACTATCGTGCTAAATATGTTGTAGTGTTAAATACATCCGAAAACAAATAAAATACATATACTCGTTCATATTAAGCTTTAAACTTATAACTCTTAGGATTACAAAAACTAGGTTAAATAGCGATGTAAAGCCACGGTGAAACAAAGGGTCGTGATTGCATACCCAGAGGACCAAACCTGTTAGTGGACGATAGTGATGGCCAAACAGGCCCGTCCCGGCCTGGCCCTGGACCGGAGAGGACCGGTTATGGGACCGCCGGTTACATCCGGTTGTGGTTTTTGTCGGATTTGTGGGACCAAGACGGGTTATGGAGCGGCCTGGCCCAGCCCGAAATATTAAAAAAATTATTTTTTTTAAATATAGTTGTTAACTAGTCGTTTTTTACCCCTTTTTTTGTATTTTTTGGCCTCTAAACACTATAAATATGTAACAAAGTTGAGAGGTTTACATACCAAGTTTTCAATTTGCAAAAAAACGCAAAAAAAAAATGTTCACAATTCTCGTAATAAAACATATTTTTAAAGTGTATTTAAGTGATCCGTACCACAAATCTAATAATGTATTAAAAATATATATCATTAAAAAATATCTTTTTCAAGGGTGGGACCGGAACCGGCAGCCCATAACCGGTTATAAACTAGTCTGACCAGTCTTCATTTATTCAACCGGGACCGGTTATGAGAAATCTTGGGCCCGGCCGGGACCGATTTTTGGCCATCACTAGTGGACGGTAAGTTGGTTAAAAAATATTTTATTTCTCTATTCTCGTTGCTCCTCCTTATTTGAAATTCCGACTCTGTCCTTGCATTTATGAATTGTTTTCCCTCTCATATGGTAAAACTTACACAGTTCCTCACCTTTAATGAGTTTTGAACTCTTGACTTTCAAAGAGATCAGATTCTACCTATAACCCAAATACCACTAACATTTTCTGTAAAAGGAAAACAGGGTGAATTACATTTTTAATGGATCTCGTTCTCGTTTCAAAAAAGTTAACGAACCATGTTCCTGCAGTTGTGTTTTTTGATAAGTTGGGTTCTTGTGGTTGCATTTGTTAACAAGATGAGTCAACGTGGTTGCAGTTTTTTAACGAATTGGGTCTCTAAATAAATCAATAAATTGAGTCGTTGTGCTCGTATTTGAGACACGGTTTCTTAAAAATATGTGACCACATAGACCTAGCTCGTTAATAACACCAAACTATAGGGACCAAAAATGTTTATAACACCAAACTATAGGGACCAAAAATGTAATTCACTCAAGAAAAAGTTATTTACGTTGTTTACCTCTTAACCATTCCATCGGTGTCTGAATCGTTCGTCGTATCATTCCGCTATCGTCCTTCCTTCTCGTCAAATCTGTGCGCCCTTCATCGTCAAGTTTGCTGCTCACTTCTGTTCGTAGATGGTCGTCCTGCTCTGCTTATCGATTTTGGTTGCTGGTCGTCAGCTCGTCGGCTCTGGTATCTCGATTCACTTGCCCTTTTGTGTTGATCTCTGGCATCTCAATTCACTTTGTTTGGCTTCCTTTTTGGTGAATTAAGTTTCTTTATTCACCTAAATTTTGTTGTTTATCTCTGCCATGAACTTGGATTAAAGTGGTAATCTTTTATGTGAATTCAACTTCTTTACCTTTTGTACTTGCTAACAATGTGTTTGATGAAATGCCTCAGTGACATGAATAACAGCAAGATTAATAATTGTCTTCCGTATTTCATAAAAGTTATATTATCGTTGTTTCATATATGTTGCAAACCGGAAGTTTTAGTGTTGTCACTTGGTTTTTTGGGAATAAAAGAGCATCCTGAATTCCAAAATTCTGTCGTAGAAGATAAAAGACCAAGGCTGTACAAACATACCCAAACCTACTTTAACTATATCTACATCTGCATCTTGACCATTTTCCATTATGAATGCATGGACATATAATTGTGAATTGGGTACATTTGTTCCACACGTATGCTTATTTGTAGGATGGAACTCGACTGAAAATCAATGCCAAAATGGGAACTTTGATGCTTTATTTACATAGTTAGTGGCGCCTTTTAGGTTAAGATAAGCCCAATGCACTTTGCACCAGTTCATATGATTTGCATCAGTTCACCTAAGCTTCTGCTAATTGTTACTAAACCTGCATTCAAGTGTGTGCTTCAGTGGATATCATCTTGATGTTTAAAGGATGGAACAGAAAATGGCATCAGTGAATACAATTGGGGTGCGTTTTTGTAGGCAAATTTGCATGGGTTGAATCAATAAACTCTAATAGGTCTTTCTCACTTTGTAGTTTAGAAATTTTGTTAGAACCGGTGCCAACCTTGCATCTTTCTCATATGATACTTCCAGAAGATGACGTGAAATCAAAATTTGGCTGCAAACTGGAGTTTCATGTGCTTAATAAATGTTGTGGTCGTTTTGATTTAGAAAGTTTTTATTGACGCATTTAACTTGTCCAGTTGTCCTTAAGAATAGACAAGACTTTAGATCTTAGGGGTTTAAGTGATGTTTTAATTCTGTTCTTGCCTCAATATAATGTGCATCTTTATGTATTTTGATGCACTTCTTTCTCCTTCTGAGTTCTGACTGATATGTTCTCAATTTTATGCATTTGTACTGTAATATAACATTCTTATGTATTTGTTTTTTAATTTATTCTACGTACAGAGGAACAGTGAAGGAACAGCACTGATTAGACTAATAAATCGAAAAAATGTCAAAGACATCATCATCTTCATCACCAATAGCTGTAAAAGATGTGATACACAAGCTGCAACTATGTCTACTAGAAGGTATCAAATCTGAAACCCATTTGTTGGTAGCTGGCTCTTTGCTCTCCAAGTCAGATTACCATGATGTGGTCACCGAACGATCAATTGCTAAAATGTGTGGTTACCCACTTTGCCCCAACTCATTGCCTTCCCCTTCCTCATCAATGCCTCCAAAGAAGGGCAGATACCATATTTCTTTGAAAGAGCACAAAGTTTATGACCTTGTAGAAACACACATGTATTGTTCAACGAAATGCGTAGTTGACAGTCGGGCGTATGCTGAAAGTTTGCAGCATGAACGGTCCTTGGATCTTGATACAGCCAAACTGGATAAGGTGGTAAGGTTGTTTGATGGTTTGACTTTGAAGGCAGAAGAGGTTTTGGGGGAGAATGGTGACTTTGGAATGGGTAATTTGTCAATTAAGGAGAAGGAAGAAGGAAGTGTTGGTGGGGGAATTGTGTCTATGGAGGAATGGATTGGTCCTTCAAATGCAATCGAGGGCTATGTTCCACAGCACGACCGCAGCGCAAAAAACAGGACAGGTATGAAATGAATTGTTATAGTTGATAAATACTCATTACTGATTGGTTTTATCATAAAAGTTAGCAAGTAATATGCTCATTCGAAATTAACCATCATCCTATTTATCTCTAGAGGTCATAACATTTTTCTTCTTCTTTGGAAATCCTGTTTCAAAAATTGGACTCTGAGGTCAGGGACGGACCCAGTGTATTGGATACAGTGGCACGGCCACGACTTTGTTTCTCCGTGGCAGTGTAAAAAATTACAGGGTCGTGAAAAGTGTCACTATATCAATTTGTTGTGTGTCATCGTATATCTTTTGGAACTACAATGAGGACACAAGTTTCTCTTGGTAGCGTTGGTTTGCAAGGCTTTTCTTCCACCTCAGACCTGAGTTCGAATCCCGTTAGTGTCATTTTCTTAGTTTTTAGCTTTTAATTTCAGATTGATTATGTTTCTAGAAAAAACCTTGCAACAATGAACTAACCATAGACCAATGATGATATTGTGAAAAATATCTCAATATTTGTTTCTTACAATCAAATGGTGCCACTACTTGAAAAAAATTCTAGGTCCATCTCTGGCTGAGGTGGTAGTATTTTTTTATATCTTGCATGCATATTCCTCTGCTCAATGACCTTTCCCTTTAGGTTTGAGTTGGAATTTCATAATTCTAATAATGTTCATTTTATGCTACAATGATTATGTATTTGTGTTTCAGGGTCTAAATTGAAAGATTCCAAGCACAAAAGGGAAGAAAAGAGTATCTTTGATGAGATGAATTTCATGAGTACCATAATTACTCAAGACAATGGTTATAGCATATCTAAAGAACCTTCTGGGCAAACAAAAAAAACTGCTGGTGCTATGTCAAAGGACTCTAGAAAGAAAATGAATCACAAGGGAACTGATGATGGTTTAACCGCATCAGCTGATTCATCATGCAATGCACAAAACGTACCCGAGACCAACTTAAATAAATTAAGCTATGTTCCTTCCAGCGCTTGCCAAAATGTGGTCGATGTAAATGTTACGGAAAGTGTCAAGGCACGTATTTGTGGTAAAGAAGCTCAACCAAGTTCTAGTGGGCTGAAATCTTCTCTGAAATCTTCGGGTGCTTTAAGGACAAATCACTCTGTCACTTGGGCTGATGAAAAAACTGATGGTGCACATAATCGAACATTATGTGAGTTCAATGGGATAGAAAATGAAAAGGAAACAAGCAAAGGTTTTGGCATGATAGACAAGAGTATTGACGATGATGATGATGATGATAATGTACTCCGATTTGCATCAGCAGAAGCCTGTGCGGTAGCGTTGAGCCAGGCAGCAGACGCTGTTGCTTCTGGGGAATCTGATGTTTGTGATGCTGGTAAGTTGCACATTTTGTGCTTGTATGGAACTTCTCTGATACTACACTAAAGGTCTGTTTGTATGTAGCTTAATGAGCGTAATGAAACTCATAGCTTATTCGGTCAGCTATACATGGCTATTTGGTAGTGGCTTCATGATATAGAAAGTGTCTTGATTCAGTAAGCCTCATGGGGGAGCTTTATGCAGAAGCCTAAGTTTTTTCCGAACCTATCATTCCAAATTAAAAAACATGCTATTTACATCTATGAAAACACCCTCCCAAACAAAACATTCCCAATTTGTACAGAGACAACTTTTTTCATACATGACTTGGGGGTTGTTTGGTTGATTTTTCATTAAGTCGTATAGATTGGAAAGGTTTTTGTTTGGGAAGTTTTCTCATAGATGGACGGAGCGTGTTTTTTAATTGGGAAGAACGGTTCTGGAAAAAACTTGAATTTCGGCATAAAGCTCCCCCCCCCCTAGAAGCTTACTGAATAAGCCACCCTTATATCATTAAGCCACTACCAAAAAGTCATCTATAGCTGAACGAATAAGCTATGAGTCCTATGAAGCTGCTAACAAACAAATTTACCCTCCTTTCACTATTATCCTATTATCTCTAGAGGTTTTATGTTTTTCACTTTTTCTTCCCACGCTCTTTCGGGATCCAGTTTCAGAAGCTGGACTTCTTATACTGCCACCTCCCCTTGATGACAATGAAATCACATCTGAGGAGATTGAGGGTGCCGCCACTGATCCAGAACCAGCACGCTTGAAGTGGCCCATAAGAACCGGTATTGTTGAGTCTGATTTCTTTGATTCCGGGGATTCTTGGTTTGATAGTCCACCGGAGGAGTTTGTCGTAGATGTAAGTACTAGTCCAACGTGGTTTTTTATTTTTATTGCGATCTTGAATGTTCAAGAAGGTTTTTCTGATGCACATTTTCACAACTTTCAGCTATCACCATTTGCGACGATGTTTATGTCTTTGTTTGCATGGATTTCCTCATCTACTTTGGCGTATCTATATGGACGTGATGATAGTTTTCATGAAGAGTATGCATCAATTAATGGGAGGGAGTATCCACGGAAAATTGTATTGACAGATGGTCGGTCTTCAGAAATAAAGCAAACTCTTGCAGGTTGTCTTTCTCGAGCCTTGCCAGGACTTGTTCATGATCTGAGACTTCGAACTCCAGTTTCTACTATCGAATATGGGATGGTAATGATTTCTCAATTTACCACCTTATTAGTTGCTGATACACGATTGTTTGTTATAGTCCCTTACGACTTGAACTCATGTGCTGAAGTTTATGCATGATTCTTGAAATTCTCATTCACCTCGCTTTTACCCATGAATGTTTGTCCTAATGTCACTTTGTTGAACTTCTGTATGATCATAGGTGTCGTCTTTATTGTTGATTGACTTTGACTATAATTACTCATTCACAGGGTTGTTTACTCGACACCATGTCGTTTCTTGATCCACTTCCGTCTCTCAGAATGAAACAATGGCAGGTGTTTGTTCTTTTGTTCGCTGAAGCTCTTTCCGTCTCCCGGATCCCTGCTATAGCCCCACATTTGACTGATAGAAGGTTCTTCCAAAAGGTAAGACATCTCTTCATTTCTGTTTGGCTGGTTTTTCATTTAAGTCTTGTATGGATAAAGTTGTATGTTTGGATTAATCTGTATGTATAGATTGAAAAGGTTTTTGTTTGTGAGGTTTTTTTTCATAGATGGAAGGAGCGTGTTTTTTAATTGGGAGGGGCAGGTTTGGGAAAAATTTGGTTTTCTACATAAAGCTCCCCCTGGAATCTTATTGAACAAGTCACTTTCTATATTATAATGCCACTACCAAACAGTCACGTATAGCCGGCTGCATAAGTTGTGAGTCAAACATTGGTGTTATGGAGCTCGATTCGTTAAGTTTAGTGAATTCTATTGATTTGTGTTCGAGATCGACTTGAGCTTGATAATTATTAAGCTCGAGCTCGAGTAGCTCGTTAGAAGCTCTACTCGTTCACACCCCTAGCTACGACTTGTGTTCAAGTTCCTACTTAGAATCTAAATCGGCTTTACGACCTGCAGGTTTTTGATGATGCTCAAATAAGTATGGAGGAATACGAGGTGTTGAAGGATCTGATGCTTCCACTAGGACGAGTCTCGCAATTTGCCACGCAAAGTGGAGGCTGAGGGATTAAGTTTTGTATGGATTAAGTTGTTTCATCAGTTAAGATAAAATATCATCTATTTTCGGAACTGAATAATCTGTCTGAATTTAGATGTAAAAGAACACAATCTTGAAATCCATTTTTAATGCAAAGCAACAAAGGAAATGTATCACAAACAAATCAAAATTTACATCCGAAAGCTTATTTTCTGAGTGAGCAAATAACCATAAACAAATGAATATGTAAGGGGTTGTTTATTTACCTTAATAGTTCCATTAAGAGGCAGTCTCTGAATCGTTAAGAGGTGAATCTTGTTTGCTAAAAAAAAAAATCTGTCTCTTAATGGTTCTAAAATCCTCTGAATGATTTTGTATTTTAGACCTCTCTTAACCATTCGGTGCCTTAATTTCATTGTAAACAATTATATTTCATTTTACACTACATCATGAAAGTCTCTTAATCATTCTGACCACTTAATCATTATTTATCAAACCATTCAACAACTCTCAAACAACCGATAAGTCATATATACCATTAAGCCCCTAAAATTATCAATCTGTCCTTTGGTTTTTATACAAATAAAACGTGGATTTCATTTGTTTTTCACAGCCAAAACTTGATCCTGCAAAGCTTATTACGTTACAGCTTCATTAAGTTTTTGTTTCGAAATAACTTAAAAGTGAAAAATGACGTATCATAACTTTTCTCGCTTTCTAAAGCCGGGTCTTTGGTTCATTACGTCTTCAGTTAACACTCTCAAATATCACGTCATGGAAATAATTGAACATTGCCGAAAAACCCAAATTTGGGCATATTTCGATTGGCGATTAGGACGGAGAGCCGTGCGACAGAGTCGTAAAAAAAAAGTTGTAGCGCTGACTTTCATAAGACACATCTGCTGCATTATCAAACCAAATGAAGCAAGTAAATCCCACACAGATACAAATATGTCAGACTGTCAAACTGAATTATACTCACACGTACAAATCTACCACAATACCAAACCAAACGAACCCGACGAATCTTCTTGCATTTGAATCCGAATAACCACACAAACAACCAACAATCGAAAACAACCAAGATAACATCATAAGGTTCTATTCCTTCTTTCACCAATTTGATGCCCATATTCACATCTTCTTTAGAAAGGCTCTTTGGTTGGTTTTTCATTAAGCTTTGTACCGGTAAATTTGTTTGTATGGATTAATTTGTCTTAATAAATTGCAGGGAGTTATTATTTGGGAGGGTTTTTCATAGATGAAAGGAACATGTTTTTTAATAACCACAAGGGTGGTGCCTTATCGGTTTAAACTTAGGCTCCAAAAGTCAAAAGTGACTGTAGGTCCCAGGTTTAAATCCAATGAGAAATGAAAATCCCCTTATGATCACGGAGGTTCAAATGTGGTGACTCCAGACTACCCGCAAAACAGATAGCCGACCTAGGATTAGTCGGCTCGCATAGCAGGTTGGATATTCAGGGTAATAAAAAAACATGTTTTTTTAACTGGAAAGTACAGGTTTGGAAAAAACTTGACTTTCCACATAAAACTAGAACCAATGACTTTCTATAGCATTAAGTCACTACCAAATAATCATGTATAACTGATCGAATAAGCTAATAGTCTCATTAAGCTAATTAAACAGCTAAAACATACTCCAAATAGAACCCATAAAAAGAAATCATCAAAAGATCACATGAACAGAAAACCCAAAACACTAATTATGAATCTAAACAAATTCAAGAACATCTTGATACTGATATATACATACATGTGTAGAACCTAATGTAAATCAAATTCTTGAAAGATGTATAATCGAACAGATATAGAAACTAGAAAAGATCTCTTGGTACCTTAAACTTTCAAAAGCTGAATCTTGTTAGAGAAAGCAATGGCGATCCAATCGGGTTGTGCTGCAGACCATTGGAGCTGATTAATCTCCGAACCAGCTGAATACATCGAAATTGGATCGATCCCCATTGGACCAGCCACAGGAGGCAACTCCCAAATCAGTGCTTGAGAATCATCTCCGGCTGAACAGATATGGCGGGAACTCGCCGGAGCCCAAGCAATTGCATTAACACTACCTTTATGTCTCTCCAATTCTGCCACCGGCATCGTCGGAGATCGGATATCGAGAATCACAATCTTGTTACTGTCCATTAAGATCGTGGCCATGTACCTCAAATCCTGTTTGTTCCAAGCTAATCTCAACAATGGCGTATCAGGCTGTGGGCTTTCGTAGATTATGGTTGAATGTTCTTTATCACGAAGATCAAAAACCCTAACGGATCCATCTGCAGAAACTGATGCAAACACGCCGGCTTCCCCCCAAGCGATGTCATGAACCTCCTTATCATGAGCGATCAATTGAGTTTCAACCACGCCTCTTTCAACGTCCCAAATCGTACACGTTGTATCGATTGAAGAAGTCCCAATTCTCTTCGGTTCAACTTCGTTCCAATCGAATGACGTCAATGGCGCACAAAATTCGCTGGCTTTGCTGTTATTGAGCACCGAGATTGGTTCAATTGAGTTCTCTCGGAGTCCCCAGAGGCGGAGGAAGTCGCCGGAGGAAGCTAGGATGTCGGCGGAGGATTTAGGGTTAGGGTGGAACATTAATTTTGTGGGAGGATAAGGATGATCGAAGGAGAGACTAGGGTTTGATTTCACGGAAAGGGTTTCTTCGTCGAAAGTGACGATATCGACTCGATTTGTGTATTCTTCAATGAAGCTGCCGAGAGCGATCCGGCGGTGGGATGATCGGTGTGTGGCGGCGGCGGAGGAGATGGCCATTGCGTAGAGAGTGTAAGGGGATTCGTAGGTTACTGAGGTTTCGGATCTGAGAGGGGAATCTTGTGTAGAATTATCCATTTGTTCGAAGATTTGAGATGATCGGAGGGAGGAGTATGGCGCCGGAGATGGTGGTGATGTTGAGTTTTCCGGCGATATATGTGCGGAGAAGGTGGAGGTGGAAAATGTGGAAAAAGTAAAAGTCTTGGGGAGAAAAATAGAAAGAATTAAAATTGCTGAGTTTGACCGGCGTCTCTGAAGTCACAATCAAATTCTAGTTTTTCACCTTCACAATTATGTGAATATTGAGAATTTTTTAGCACTTTTGTGATTATGAATATTCAGATTGTAGATATAATTCAGGGTTGAGAATTAGTCTTATGGGTCTCACGAAAAACTTTTGGTTTCACATGATTCCAAATCTCTCTCTCTCTTTATATATAGGAGCTCATTCAAAGGAGAACAAATTAGTTTATAGTAATCGTGAGATTCAATGTGAACCACTCGTTTGAGATATTTAAATATATTTCTTAAATAAACTAAAAGGGTAATATAGTAATTCTATTTTTGACAATTAATCAAAATATTTAATTAAATTATTTAGAAGAAAATATATAATTAAAATTAGTTACCTAGTATATCAATTACGTAATATACATCGTATTTTAAAGACGTTTGTAAATCAAAGTATATCATAATGATAACATTCACACTATTTCATGTGTATCACAATGTATTTTCTCTGTTTTATGAAATGTATCATAGTGTGCATTTTTCGTTATTTTTATTGTCTTATAAAAGGTATCACATTGTACATCTTGTATGTATATATATGAATATGAGTATCACAGTGAAAGACTGAATCCATAAACAAAAATGAAACAACGATAATCATATCAATAACTATTTTGTTTGAAGGATTCAACGCTATAATTTTCATATAATTTTAAATTAAATTAAAATGAGAATTTATTTGCATAATGTGTGAGAATTGAAGAAGCCATTCATGCATAATTGCACATGCCATAATCACAAGTCTCTCCATCTTTGCACTTGTTTTGACACACCCCACAATTCCTCTTGTCAACATATGTGTTCTTGCATTTTCCTCTGCAACAACTTTCATTATACTTGCATTTCATTCCACAGAATCCGCAGTTCAATCGATCTGTTAACATATTGACACACTTCTGTTTGCAACAGCCCTCGTTAGATGTGCACTTCTTCCCACAATATCCACAGTTCAAGCGATCTGTATCCACATTCACACATTTCTTCTTGCAGCAATCAGGGGCTACGCCATTCTTTGCTCGACACACCCTGGGATATATGTCACATTGGTAGAATGGATTCAGAGCAAGAAGTTGAGTTTCTAAGTTCGTACGAGGGTTAGTATGGGATAATTCTAAGTCGTGAATTACTTCATTATCGGAAACGGATGCAGAAAAAGGGATAATGGAGAGTGAAAGAGCAAAGAGGACCATTAGCAACCCCATGGGAATAGATGGAGGGTGCTTTGGTTAATTGGTTTGGTTGGAGGAAATGGGTTTTTATAGGAGGCATACAAATGTGATAGTTTACCCCAAAGCCCTTTATCTTTGGTGTTGATGACACTTTGATCCCTCAAGTTTTGAATTAATGTAATAGTCCAATATGAAACGAAATTTGTCTTACTTCTTATTTACTATAACAACAATTTTCTTTTCAATTAGTGTAACAAATGTTCGATTTTTCCTATTTCGTTCACATTTTGTCCGGTAACCATTAGATCTTGTACCTATAATGATGTAGATGTCAAGTTGTCAAGTTATATTGTAGTTCTTGATTACTGGCAAAATATCACATCAAAAGCAACTGATGTTGCTGAATATCAGTTTATGAGGTAAAATGATTGTTACACCAAATCAAAAACTAAAACAAACTTCGTTACATTTTGATGTATTTTGTTTAACGTAATATACTTGAAACACGATTGGGACCGAAGTGTCAGGAAGGCCAAACATAAAGGGTATAAAAAGAAATGGTAGGACAAGAGAGGGTTGAAAAAAAAGAAAGCTTGAGTTGCAAGTCTTGCTTTTTAGGGTTCATGCATTCAATCTAGAAGAGGAAATCTTGATAACTTGGAAAACAATTATTTAAAAAATGGTTGATATTTGGATATGTGATGGTAATCATTCCCCAACATAATAAGGAATCTTGAAGCTTTGAGTTCCAATCAAGAACTAAGATTTTGGCATCAACTCTAAGTAAAGGAGTTGGAAAAAAAAGAGAATATTCTCTTTGTTGAATTCAGATGTTGTCAAAACTCTTGCGGTTATGTAAATTCATCAACAATTACTACAAGCCATTCATGGTCGATCAGGGGATTAATCTTTACGCATAAATTTGTGCAGATACCCACTCCACCGTTAAAAGAATATCCATAAAATACTAAAGGGCGTTTTGACCTAGCGGTATGTGAGTCTTTGGCCTCCTAGCAGGTTAGAGGTTCAAACAACACCAAAAATGGAGAGGATGTGTGAGTTTATTTATACAATTTACCGTATATAACTATTATATACTTTAAAAAATATATTCATTTATTCTTATATATGATAAAATAAAGACTCTTATGATGACTTTGATGGTATATGTGTTACTTTACATTTGACTTCTATTAAATATTACAGTTGAAATTGGATAAAGTAATAACTTCGATTATATAACAATTTATTTCGGTCCCAAGTTGGGCCGAGTAATACAAAAAATGGAATCGATCATTAACTAAAGGGTCATTAATTCAACAGTATTGAGGAATCCAACCTTTTTAGAGGTCATATCAGTTTAAATTTCACCAAACATAAAAAATGTGTACAAGTTTCTCTTAACATATATAAATCAAAGGGTCTTTGGCCTAGTGGTATGTGAGTTTTTGGTAATCTAGGAGGTTAGGGGTTCAAACCTCACCAAATGTGAGGAGGATGTGCGCGATTATTTGTTCTATTTGCCGTATATAAATATTATATACTTAAAAAAACATATATAAATATTATATATTCCAAAAAAATATAAAATGATAATTATTGGATTTCATGATTAGAAAATATATATATATATATATATATATATATATATATATATATATATATAAACCAGATGATCCTAGTATATCTTACTTTTAAGAAGTTGAAATGGATACAGATCTAACATATACTTAAAGCATAGAATAGTTACTTTCATAAAGACCCACATTATGAAAAATGTAAGAAAATAAAGTAGACCCCACCCTATTTTCATGAGACCAACTCTCAAGGCATAAAAATACATTGAACCTCCACAATAAATAAATAAAAACTGCGAAGGATCAATGCTTTTTGTAAATTTACAATGATTTGCTATGAAAGTTCAGTGTTCTTTTTGTAGTCTCACAAAAACATGTTGCTTTCGTGTGATACCAAGTTTAAAGTAGAATTCATAATTAATAAGGTGGCATTTGTTTTTTAAGAGGCGTTGAAGTCTGAAATCTTATTCCACTTCTGATTAATAAGATGTGGTATTGAAGTCTGAAATCTGAATCAATAAAAATGTCTGTTTTTTAAACTGACAAACATCTGAAGTCTGAAATCTAAATCAATAGTTTGTTTATGTAAAATCAGGTGCAAACATTTTGCAGAATTCTCTTGATTTTTATAAAATTTCCATTGCGGAAATCCATCTCAACAATTGTTTAACAGATGAAACATAGTAAGAACCTTTTGGATACCTTTCAGACTTCCGATGCTATCGGGAATACCGTCGGTGAGTTCGTGAAAAAAATCGATACTTTTGATAAAAGAGAGATCGCCGATAGAAGTTTTGTTTCACATTAATCTTCTAAGTTAACCTACACGTACAGAAATTATACATATATATATACATATATAGAGAGAGAGAGAGAGAGAGAGAGAGAGAAGGAGGGGCATGCATTTCACATGGATGATGAAAGGACAGTAGGGTTCCTTGTGGAAAAAGAAGCAATAGTGAAAGAGAATCAAAGAAAAGGAGAAATAAAAGAAATTAAGATATTAATTTACCTCTTATTTATTCAGACCCTATTAAGTGATAAGAGACTTTGAAAATAATAAAAAAAGCAAACAGTCTTGACTACAAAATGTCTGAATGAATCAAACATAAATGGTAATTAAGAGCTGAAACTAAAAAAAACCAACTAAGTAATAAATGAAATCTTTAGCTACATAATCACCAACTTTTACAAATGTTGTTTCACATACTACACCATTTACTAATATACTCCTAACTAACATGACCTCAAGAAACCTTTGCTAAAACTTTTGCTTCTAAAAGCATCCTTTTTTTCAACTCTGTGTACTCTGTATTTTTTCCTATCATATAAATGGTTCAAATAATGTGATGAAAGAGTACAAAACATGTATAATTGAGTTCAGGGGGTCGTACGTAGCAAAGCAGATGCGTCAAAGTTTCCCGACACTCCTTGGCTCAAAAGCCGCATAGCCCCGTCTCTCGAGAACTTTCGAGCAAAGAGAAAACAAGGGACTAGCACTGCATTACTTCGACACCACTCCGTTCGGTGTTCAGTCTCGTATAACACATGGTTGATATCCTGCAAATTTTACAAAGATTAAAGGTGAAAAGGACAAACCGAGGTGCTTGATTAAATCAAATCAAACCAGATTAAACCCACAAGTGGTTCAAGCCGCGGTTTTACTAAAAACAAATATTGGGATTTGTAGGGGGGTTTGGTTGGTTTTCTATCAAGTCCTGTATGTATAAAGATGTTTGTATGGATTAATTTGTCTATAAAGACAGAAAGTTTTTGTTTGGGGTTTTCTTATAAATGGAAGGTCTGGGGATTTGTTTGGGAGGGGCAGGTTTGGAAAGACTTGGCTTTCTGTATAAAGCTCCCCCTAAAAGCTTACTGAATAAGTCACTTTCTATATCATTAAACCACTACCAGAGAGTCATGTATAGCTGACCGAATAAGTTGCGAGTCCTGATAAGCTCAATTAAGCTGCTAACAAACAGACACTTTAGATTACTCTCCAAAAGAACCATTAAAAATAAAATGGGTGTTCCAACATATACGAGGAGAAGAGGAAAGTTCAGTTACAAACCTGTTTTCCGTTGTGAATGGGGGATAAAGGAGAGCGAGACACGTTCCCCATATTTTCCCATTCATCATGAATAATAAACGTGAATTTTTTATAACAATCAAGAATGATACCTCATACAACATTCATGATAAATATGCGGTGAATGTCTTAGACACGTGGCACGTTCTCATTTGTCCCCTTGTTCATAATGGAACTTAAGTTTGCAATTGAAACTGCCCAATAGAAATAGTCCAAGTCTAGCCGTGTGGGACTCCCACATGCCCCCTCCAATGGAGGCCAAATTGTACCAGAGTGTCGAGAGCGGGGGCTAGACGTGTACAAAGCGCCCATAGCTCTGAGTAACACTAAAGTGGTAGTAGACTTTGGCTCTGATACCATGAGAGGATATGTATAACTCCATGAGATTACTCTCCAAAAAAGCCCTCAAGATGCGTTTGGTATGCAAACAAGACCGGATCAACAAGAGTGAGGTAGACAGCTGAAAGAATTGTATATGGTTTTAGGGTTTTAATTTGGCATGGGTAGTTTAGTAATTTATTAATTTTGTCCCCTCTTCATGATTTTTTGTTCCATCTATTTTGGTAGCACAAAAGAATGCAATTTTGTCCCACTCACTAGAGTCTTGTCCAGGTCTAAGGGGTTTTTTGGTTGGGTTTTTTTCCATAGATGGATAAAGCTATCTATGTGGATTAACCTATCAGTATAGATTGTGAAGATTTTTGTTTGGGGGGGTAATCATAGATGGAAGGAGCTATTTTTTTAATTGGAAGGGGCATGTTTGAAAAAAACTTGGTTTTTTGCATAAATCTCCCCCTAAAAGCTTACTGAATAAACCGTTTTCTATATCATTAAGCGACTACCAAACAGTAATGTATAGATGACAGCATAAGTTGAGAGTCCCATTAAACTCATTAACCTCCTAACAAACATGCCCTAAATGTCTCACCAAACGTCATGTATATCATTAAGCCACTACCAAACAGCTATACCCGAATAAGTTATTGAGTCCCATAAAGCTCATTAAGCTCCTAACAAGCATGCCCTAAATGTCGCACCACACATGGGACAACAAGTTTTCTTTCTATCCTATCCCGCTCTGACCTGTCCCACATACGCATCCTTAAAAGAGAGAAGGGATATTCCAACATATCATACGAAGAAATGGTCCAAGTCTAGCTAATGTTGGACTCCAACAGAATCCATGAAAAGGAGAATGAAGAGCTATATAAGCAAATTGGACCTTATTTTCACAAAACTCGAGCTTATTAGTTAACAATCTACAAATACGAAGATATAAAGCATTTACCTTGATCCTTTTGATTTGTTCGGGGTTAGAACTTGCATAATTATACGTTACAGGATGCCAGCTTCTCGTTTCCATGTTTGTAGATGAAACCATCCATGAAGTGTATGTCACCGTTCGTCGTTCAAGCTCACCCTCGAGATCACTCATCTTAGAAAACAAGTAATTCGACATAAAGGAAAGATAAGAATCGACTCAAAAGAAATATATAAGATTTCATAAGAAACTAAATGTGTTTTCTAACCGCAAGTAATGTCTGAACGTAATGCTCGTCGGGAATGCAATTATGCTGCTTCTGAAGTTTCTGCAAAAGCAACAAAATATTACCATATAGTAACGGAAATCGCGTCGAATTCTAGAAAATGTTAATCTACGGTTACAAATCTGACTCAAGGTTTTTTCCCGATCCGTCCGTTTAATTTATGATTTCATTTAAATAAGCAAATCACGTGAAATCAGCAGTTTCTTGTTCTCTTTAGGATTTCCTACGGATGCTAGTTTTGTGTATAGACTCGTATAGATGAGTTCAATGCACTAGACTCACCGACGTCATAACCAACCAAATATAACCAAACTAAACGATATCAGTATATCCCGCTTGAAAGCAGGGTCTACGGCTGGGATGTAGGCAGACTTGACCCCTACCCCATAGAACGGTTGTTTCGGTGAATAACCGACCAAATATAGGAGTCTATGAGCATGTATTTAGATGAAACCACTTATACAAGCAAGTGGGTATATTTATTTCAACATTCGAACCAAGTATCAAAAACGCAGGTCAATGTGCAATAAATTTAACTTACAAGATTCTGCTTTCCTTTACTGGCATCTAAGGGTGGACGTCTCTGCAAATCATCAAATAAAGAACGTTAGTAAAATGAAAACCAATAGCAAACTATTGGGGATCTGTAGCTAGTGTAGATGGGAGACTGAGATACGGGTCCTTTGGTTAAATGGCCTTCTTACAATTTTCGTTTAAATCCATGACTTGACAATTTTCGTTTAAATCCATGACCTAACAATTTTCATTTAAATCCATGACCTTCTGACAATTTTCTTTTGAATCCATGACCTTCTGACAATTTTCTTTTAAATCCACGACCTTCTGACAATTTTCTTTTAAATCCATGACCCTCTGACAGGTTTGAAAATGTCAGTGCTTAACTAAATAATGTCACTTCCATACACAAAAACACCTAAAAACTTGTCAGAAGGTCATAGATTTAAAAGAACACTTGTCAGGAGGTCGTTTAGCTTAATAACGCAGTGAGGAATAGACAGGGCTAGGGTTAGGGTTAGTGAGTCAGCCGTTAGGCTACTAGACTATTTTACCTACTTTTGTTTGTATGTTATTTTTTGCTCCTTACCTGCTTTTCTTTCTTCTTTTTTTGGGCTCAAACTCTCTGTACACTTTTCACAAGTCACGGGTTTCCATGGAATCAACCGCTTTACCCTTTGCGGTAGAGATCAGGTTTTGGTACATCCCACCATCCCCAGCCCCATCTCTGGGTGGGAGATACTGTGCTCGTTTTGTTTGGTTGGGATAAGATTCAGAAACTAACTAGCATAAATTATTGCTATATACAGAATATAAACACGTGCTATACCTTACATAACTTCTTGAAAACTGGAAATACGACATCATCATATGCAACAGCTTTTGCATGACTTCGAACTAATGCAAACCACTGAAAATTTTCAAGTAGAACAGATCAATATGACCGGAAAATTTGAAGTTTCTAGATCAACAGGATGGAATTGAGAGGGAAATGCATAATTTCACATGCGAATAGGGTTTCAAAATGCTTAACCTGTGAGCCTTTTCGCCATTTCCTCATTGGTATAACAGGAGACATCTTGGGATTGTAGCGACCTTCTTTCATATCAAGAAAGCTAAACCACAAGAAACATAAACCCCAGATCATAACACATACCGTCACCAAGTTTTATGACAAAAAGCATATAGATTGCAGCTTAAAAGACACTAATAGAGATAGTAACTGCACTGGTCATTACCTGTCTACGAAACTTTTAGAAGAACCCATCAGGTAATGGTAACTATAGGTAAAGTTGTAGAGAGGCACACAACTGCACAAAAAAAATCAATAGGATAAAAAAACATTTAAAATCTACAATAACATATAAACCTAGTGGTTGAGATAAGGTCTGCATCCATCCTACCCCTCTCAGACCCTACTTTCGAGTGGGAGATACTGGTTTGGTTTGGTTTGGTTTGGTCTGGTCTTGTTTGGTTTGGTTTAATAACATATATACCTAGTTCCCAAAGGCCACGTGGAAAAACCCTTCAAAAATAAGAACGAGATGAATAAATCCTAGAAGTGCTCCCCATCCCCCATGCTCCAAAAGTCACGGTTCTTCACCGAAACAATTGCTCTAATCTCTGGAATAGAGATCATGTCTGCATCCATCCCACCATCCCCAGACCTCGCCTACAAGTGAGATATGTTGGGCTAGTTTGGTTTGGTTTAAACATTTAACATTCTATGGTACGATTCATATGTGTCATCGAATTAAGATAATGTCAAATAGAACTAGGAGTGTTGGCTTCTCCTATATTTGTTGTTATAAGGGTGTATTTGGTAAGCGGACAGGACCGAATGGATGAGAGCGAGGTAGGTAGGTGAAAGAATTCTAGAAGGTTTTAGGGTTTTAATTTGACATAAATGGGTTAAGTAACTTACCAGTCTTATCCCATCTCCGTGGTTTTGTCCCACTTATTTTGATGGGAGAGAAAAAATGCAACTTGGTTCCACTCGGGCCGTGTCCTTGAGTACTTCACAGGCTAATGTCAAATATGGACAACAAGTTTGTAACATCCCCACCCAACTGTACTAGATATTGTCAGCTTTATCGACACCTGAACTCATGGTTTTATAACATGTTTATTAGATGTAGTCATCACTCCCTTATAAGGCAACCTTTGTTTCCTTCCGAAACCTATGAGGGATTTCACAAAGTTTTTGTATTTCTCTGTCCTACATAACAAACACACCCTAACTGGTATTTCTGGTGATGTACATTCTATGTGAAATTCGTTTTTCTTCTTGAATACCCAAAACAATTTACAGCAATTATTATGAACTATTTCTACGATACCCATGAAGTGAACAAGAAGATATACCTGTCTGATAAGAGAAGAAACCTCCGGTTTGCTGGATTTTCAAGGGCTGCTCGAAGTAGCAATCTTTCAGCTTCTATCATGCTTGATTCACCCCAACCTACCTGCAACATCACCACTAAAATCATTCCACAAGATAAGAGACAACTCGAATGCTATTAAAATTCAATGATTACAAAGATAAAAGAATCTATAAAATCATCACCTTAATGCTATTGCTTAATTGTCGATTATAAAAGAAGCTTGATCTTGTAGACATTTCATCGAACACTAAACCAGCCTCAGAAGAATGAACATAAATTGAGTAATTTGCTGCATCAGCATTCTGCACATATGTTATTACTCTATGCATTTCATCGTAATGATCCATCAATAGAGTTCGCAAATCATTCAATAAATTCGTATTTTGTTTTTCATATATTTAATTATCACGATGAAAGTTCATCCGATAAATCAAAAATTTTGGTCCAATCAAATGATACATAAACGAATCATAGGACGCAAATGACACCTGATTAATGAATCATTTAATGCTAATTACCTCGAAGAAGCTTTGCCAGAGGAAATCAAGGGGGAGATCTCGACGAACTAGAAAGAGGAAAGCAATTCTAGGGTTTCCTTCAAAACCTTCATCATCTTTCCAAATCGGAAGCTGAGATCGCCGATAAACTCGAGCTGAAGAAGACGATGAGAACTGTGGGGAAGTGTCATAGTAAAGCTGAATCCGAACAAGTGTTAGAACTAAAAAAGTGATGCTCAGAAGAATCACAAGCTTCCAAATCAGCCACAAATTTTGGGGTGTCGATAACGAAGAAGATGAACCAGGCGGTACCCTTTTCGTCATTGTTCCTTCTGGTATCCTCCACTTTTTATGGCAAATTCATCATACGATACGTATAAAATTTGGAGGTAAATTCTTCAAGAAATGGTCGAAAGCTTCAATGGGTGCTTCAATGGAGGTGGGGAAACGTGTGTACTGTGTGAATCTCTGAAAACATACAGCAGGAGGAGGGATTTTGACAAAGAATTTGTCTTTATGGAGAAATACAAACCTCCCACCAAAACCCAAGAATCAGTCGATCGATGATGACACTTGGAATCATAATTCGGGTTTTATTGCAAGAATCTTGAATTCATATGATTTTGGGGTTTTATGGAGCGTTTGGATTTCAGTGGTTAAAAACTAAGAATGGAATGTTGTGATTTTTTTTTTATTAACCTAAATATCCAACAAGTATACGAGCCGATTAATTCCAAGACGATTACCTAGTTTACAGATAGTTCGAAGTTATCGTATTTGAATCTTCATGGCTACAAGAGAATTTTTATTCCTCCTTAGATTTGAAACTGATACATTTTCATACTTTTGACATTTTGAGTCAATCTCAAACCAAACTTGGATACAACCAAAGAGTCTTTTGGCTCAGGTTGAGGAATGAAAATAATGAATATGAAAATAACAGGAAATGAAAATTCTTGTTTAACCAGGAATGAAATTTAGGTTTCTAGGGGAATGAGTTCATTATACTATAAAAAAACCAAACAGTTTCTTTTATTTTCAATATCATTAATTACTGTTTAATACCTTTAACCAAACACCCCTTAAAATTAACATAAAAATAATTAATTAATTTTACTTTAATTTAGAGAAAATTACAAATATTTGAGGAAAAGATTGAATATCGACAATCTCGATTGACGCCACTAGAAAGCCTCTAGAAACTACATGTGAGAATGAATTCCAGAGCTGACTCAATGGCTAAGACTGGCAGAAGGATTTAATTTCGTCTCCCGTGTGATTTGAACTTTAACTTGTTATGTATTTGAGTAAGGTTGTTCGATCATTTTGTCAACTAAGCTACACGCCTGAGGGTGGTATAAATGACAATTTAGTTTCAGGGAAATTACGAAGGAGGTCTTTAACCCTAAAAAAGTATGTGTAGAATTCTCGTGGTTTCATTTTCGTTTTGGTGATTTGTTCTAACTTCGTTAACTGGATTCCGTTAAATGGAGAAGTGAACAAGGCGGGATCGGTTTGACCCGAAAAGGAAAAGGGTGGGCGCCTTTTGTTTATTTATTTTTTTCTTTAATGCTTTAAAGATTTATACATTTAGCAACGGAAAGTTGTACAATTAAAATTATGATCAAACAGAATTATACAGAGAGTAAAATGAAACCCTGAACATGAGGGGCATGTGGGAGACTTAATATAGCAATTTTAACGTCGATTCTTCCCAAGTGCTTATTCCACTCGACTTCGCTAATCACCGCTATTCGTTCTTAAGGTAAAAGAATGATGTTCACCTATTAAAAGCTAATGGATTTAGATGGATCAGATCTAATCCAATCATTCATTAGATGTTGGATTTTATCATCTGATCTATTCAATTAATAGTGGACAACCCATCTTATCCAGTCGAGTTGATGATTGGCGTTGGATTGGATTGGTTCATCCATTTGATATTGGTATTGATTATCCGTCAAACCAGACAATTCATCCATTATTTTGATCCAATTTTCAACCAATTAATCCACCATTTTAACCAATTATTCATAATTTTTATTAATTCTTCATAAACACTACATATGAATATCAACCAACAATATTGTAACATATAACTGATTATACGTATTTATTAACTGGACGGTAACCAAATGAATAAGAAGAAAAGGATCTGAAAAAGGTCAATCTGATCCTTCTAGTAATCATCCACGATAGGTGGTCAAGTCGACCTACTAACCCGATGCATAATGACTCTCTCGACCATGTCATCATAAGAAAAGACTGCAAAATCTTTCTGAAGTGTTATAAAGAGGGAAGGCGCGCTGCAACTAACATAACAACCTCAGATTTCCTTTCATTTAGAGCAACAATCCCGACTTCTCCCGTTGCTAAAGTATAATAAGAGATAGGTGTCTACCCTAAAGTCACCTATCGACACTCAAGCCTGTTCATCGTGCTTTCTTTCTTTTATAAGACTGGAAGAGATAGAAGGCTCTCCTGTCTTTGCCCATTGATAGATATGCCTGAAGTACCGAAACTCTCTCCCGTAGGGCTCTCTTTTCGTGAGCCGGTGAGGGGTGAGGGATCTACTTAAACTGAGCCATCTTCGCTAACCGATCTGTCATATTAATCAGATTGTTGGTTCAGTTTTACTAGATTCTAAACTATCATCCAAGAACTATCCGATCTGATTTAGGGTCTAGTTGATCGATTGCAGTCAGATCGAATTAGTTGTTACATACTTATAGGTAAGTTACAAATCCAAATCCATTGGTGTCATTCAATTTCATCCATTTGATTTCCTAACAAAGAATAACGAGACATTTTTTACAAAGGGTAAAAAAGGTAAGTTTCGAAACCCCAATCAATACCCACAACGTGGAATGTCCTTGTCCGTCGGATCCAAATGGTCAAGCCCATTAGAGAAGTTGATTACCATCAAAACAAAAGGGTATTTATGTAACTTGACACACCACTAGGGCTAGGAGGTGGGATTGGTAGGAACCCTAAAACACCACCTTCTTCAATATAAATATCTTCATCATTACTCTTTGTTTATCATACACTTATCCGATAAGTATTTATCGGTAAAATTTAGCATTGTCATTTACTTACTGAGCAAGTTTTTAGTCCACCAAAACGATATCATATGCAATAATTTACCCGACAAACGATTATCATGGTAAGAGTCGCCGCTCTTACTTACTGGATAAAATTCTGGTCCTTGTCTCGCTGGTAAGTTCTTGGTCCTTACTATATTCATCAGATAAGGTAATGTGACTTGGTAAGCGTTTACCCGGACAAGCGTTTAATAAACGGCCCCTAAGTTTACCGATTTGCTTTTTATTGTCTTCTTTAATTAAAAATTTGGGGTTTTGGTTCAAGAAAACTTGTGGGTTTTGTTACATTTGAATTATGTTTGGTGGGTTTATATTGATTGAGCCGTTAAAGTTTGTTTACCAAATGTTTATCAGATAAGTGTTTATTGGGTGTCATTTACCTTAACAGGTGAGCATCACAAGGATCAGAAGTCTTATCTATTAAAAGGCATAGCAAGTATACCAAACAATCCATTTTGATGACACAAAACAGTACCCAATAAACGCCTGATAAACGACTCACAAGTCTTGAATTTTTGGGGAAAATTGGTTTTACGAAAGATGAGTATTTGAAGTTTGATTTTTATAAAATGTTTCATTAAAATTATATAATATGCTATAAGGAAAAGTTAAATTTATGGTTTGTGTTGTAAACTTTTTTAAAATATATAATTTATATTTGTATATGTCAAATGCAACAACTAAACTCACACACCCTCCTCACTTATGGTGAGGTTTGAACCCCTGACCTCCTAGGAAGCCAAAGACCATTTGGTTTGTGTTGTAATGTTATGTTGTCTTTTTGTGGACTTTGTACTTCTAGAACTTGACTTATCTCGGTTACATTGATTTTTACATGCTAACAAACATGATAAAGGTTGTTTTTTTTTTGCTTAAACCTATTGTTTTGTAATGGTGTTTCCAAATTGCAACCAAGTTTGTGTTTTAGCCTGATTTATTCTTAACCGAACTTTAAACCAATCCAAATACTAACTACTGACGAGTTACCAACAGATACCCGAGCATCCCATCAGATTTTTAGAGGTGTGCGTGTAATGCATATATGTGGGGTTTTTTGTTTGTACTCGAGCATAATTTATCTGCCGATGGAATGAATACACTATTTACCTCTCGTACAACCGGCAGACGCTCCGGACAGTGACTAATACCCCCTACCCTTACTCCCAACGTAAGATATGATGAGTTCCATTATTGGATACGATTATTGGTTGGTTTTTTACCATTAGATGTCTAAATAAGGTGTCTTTTACATACATTAGATTGTCCTTATTTAAGACCTGACCAATCCAAGACTTTTTGATCCCCAAACAATTGGTCCCGGTTTTTTGGTCTTTACCTTGCCAAGACTAATCAAAGGGTTTTTTTCAAAGCATATTGATCAGGCTTCAACTAGACCAGAGTTTTTCATGATTGATCCGTATGCAATTCTGCACCAAAACGTTGATATAACAAACCATAGATATTATGCAATAAAAGCATTAAATTAAAACACTCCAAAAAGGTTACAAAATAGCTACGTAAACATCATTATCGTTAGTATTTTTCCAGTAGGGAAAGGCCGAAGCTACAGACATCAATATTTCAAAAAGGGTAAAAACGAATGTAGCTGATATCAACCACAATAAAATATAAAATTTGCAAATAAGCTTCTTTCTTGGGTGTTGGAAGAAAATCTGATGTCCCAAAATTCCTCTAGATAATGAATTTTGGGACAACAAATTTTTATTCGTTATGGGGCTCAATCAAAACTGCACCCCAACATCCTAAGGCGACTAGCGTGCATGCATCAACTCCTCGAAATCGGCAAGCGCTTTATCCATAGCGTTCAAGACCATTTTCTTTATCTGGTCCATAAAAAGATACGTTTTTAATTCATTTTTACTAGATTAAAGATGAAACATAAACGACTGAATTAAATTATTTTCCATACCTCTAGTTTGTCTTCTCTGGCTTTGTGACCACTTGGAAGCTTGCGAAACTCATCTGTTAATCGGATGCATTCATGTACGTTTTCTGGAGAAACAAAATCCACCGCAACTTTTGTACACGACTGCAAGAAAATAACCAATGAACGAAAGCGAAAGCAGAATATATATGATTTGTTTAACTACATGTAAACGTATACAGAATTGAACCAAAGAGTCATTAAGACATTAACCCAGCAATAAGTTTACAGGTAGAACTCAACCTCTATTTTGTGTAAATCAGAGGTTTAAGTCTCACCAAAAATGTAACGTCTAATTTTGAAAAAAAAAACTGGCCTTTTTGAATGTATTTTACACATTTCTTGGAAGTTTTATAACTCGCAATTTATTTTTGCAACTTGGATTAATTTTCGATCCCATCAACCACTTCAAGAAACTATAAAGTTATCGGTAACCACAACTCATTGTAGTTAATGACACTTGAAAAAATCTTGAGGAAACACGGCAAGAAACGGTATGAAAATGGAAAACAATTGAGTAATTTAATCATTTATTGGATTTCATTTCAATCTCGTATTTGATTTAAATGAAAATCCGAAATTAACGTTGTGTTCTTGAATTTTAGGAAGAAAAAAAAGGAAAAGAAAGCGATTTTTTTATCAATATTCTTGAAACTGAAAGGAAAGAAAATAAATTAGGAAAGTTGTAATTTTTACACATTTGCCCTTATTTACTTGATGTCGGAACGTTAATTAATGGGGGTGTGTGTAATTTTAGAAATATTTTTTAATTTTTATAAATTCATTCTTTTTCTTTCCTTCCCTTTCCTCCCATATACTCGGACGAAAGTTTTGGGAGGAAAATTAACATTATTTTCCTTCCATTTCCCTTAAAAAACTCGAGAACACAATTTTTTTCTTTCCCTCCTACTTTTCTTCCCTTTCGCTTCCTTTTCATTGTAAAAAAACGAGAATACAGCTTAAAGTCATGGGATTTCAATGAAATCTTACAAAAATGGGATTTAGAAATCCTGTATGGGGATAATTGGTATTTTATGGGATTTCATAGGATTTGTTTGTAATTAATTAATAAAAAAGTAATTTAATTATTTTTGATGATTTGGTTTTATAATTATTTATATAAAATGGAATTCAATTACTTTCAAAATTCTACAAACCAAAGACATCAAATATTCTAAATCTTTCTACGAAATCCAAATCCCTTAAAAACATTCTGTCAAACCAAACGAGTCCTTAGAGCTTTTTAGCTTTTTTTATGCGTCTGCTCCTCCAAAAAGAATTTCAAAACGGAGAAAATAGAAGAGAGGGTGGATTTTTCTCCTAATTTAAAGAATTCTCCGACAACTCCATTTTGTTATTTCCAAACAGTGTTTTAAAAGGCTAGTGGCAACAGCCGTCGTGACATGTCGTGGTTCAAAACTTACGTTTGACTCCACGTTAATCCTATAACATGTCATGGCCTAATGTGCGGTTTTTATAAAACGCTATTTGATTTTTTTTTTTACTTTCTAGTGTCTTGTTAATTTTTAATATATGACCTACTTTAAATTGTTAAATTATTGACTCATTAAGTAATAATAGAAAACATAAGTCTATATATATATATATATATATATATATATATATATATATATATATATATATATATATATATATATATAGACATGGGATCACGTGAGACCAATCTGTTTTCTTGAAACCATTTTTTTACACTTGAAACTTCACAGCAAAACGCTGTGAAGGTAACAAGTAGTCGAACCTTCACAGCAAAAACACTGTGAAGGTTATCATCACAACGTTTTGCTTTAAGTTTCAGGTGTAAAAAAGTAGTCTCATGGGTTTCAGGAAAACAAGTTGGTCTCACATGAAACCAAACCTTCACATCGAACAGTTTCTTTTATTTTCATTCACATTGATTACTGCTTAATACCTCTAACCAAATATCCCTAAATGTATCTTTTTCCCTTTAAAATTTAAATTTAGAGATTTTCTCTCTTTTCCAAATAAAGAGAATATTTTCTTAGGGGCCGTTTACTAAACGGTTACTTGGCAAGTGCTTACCGAATAAATTTCCTTACCGGATGAACATGACAAGGGCCAAGAATTTTACCAGGTAAAAGCGATGAGAAGAATGAAGAGTTTTACCCGGTAAGTGAAAATTACAACTCTTATCCAGGTAAGCGCTTACCCGGTAAATTGTTGCATTCAATACGTTTGGATATACTAAAATCTTACTCATCAAAATAAATTATAGTATTGACTCCTATAGGTAAGCACTTACCGGGTAAGCATTTGGGTAAACAGCCCCTCAGTTCTCGAAAATGTTGTAGACATTTTATTGAAGCAAGAACAAAGAACTCTAAAATCTACATTTTAAAGATGTCGTTAAAGATATTATTAATATATAGTGTCTTACGTATAGCTCAATCGGCAAAGGAACGGGGTGCTTATTTAAAAATACAAAATAGGTCGTGGTTCTGATCTCGCCCTTGGATCATCTTATCTAACAGTTGTGACTTATTCTCATCTTCTCAATCTTTTTCTCATTCTCATTTGAACCTTCATGTAGAGATGACCAGAAATTGGTCTTGGCAAGTCCCAATCTCGGTCTTGGGTTAAGATGTTGCAAAGAGCCCAAATGGCATCTCTTCTTGAATGACACATTGTGTTGTCATTCTTCAGTTCAACCCACATCATACATCCAAAATGTGCCTTATTTGTTAGAGGATGGGGCGACTTGAACCCCCTTTGACGACTTTACCGCTGGACATGTCTTTTGGCTCAACATCTCAAGGTTAAGTTTCCTTCCGTCGTAAGGATATCGTCACACGATTTGCATTGTGCCTTCCTTTTCGAACTTGCAAGAATCACCTTGTTGTATGAATTCCAAACTTCGGATTTTCGACCATGTTTGACGAGAACTTAACAACAGGATCTTTGGATGAATCATCGCCATTGTGGGTGTGGATGTGTCACCCGATTTTTTTTTTTTTGAAGTATATAATATTTATATATGGTAAATAAAATAATTAAACTCACACGCTCTCCTCACATTTAGTGAGGTTTGAACATTTGACCTCCTAGGAGGCCAAGAACTCACACCCCCCCCCCCCCACTGGAATTGTTGAATGCCAATTTTCGAGCAAGTAATAACACAAAAATGAGAGAGAAATAAAGTAGAAGAAATAAGCAAATCGAAATATTAAAAAAAAGAGTTGAAATCACGAATTATAAAGAAGATTCAGAACTTTTATTGTGTTTATAAGTTTGATATTTTCTCATACACCTTATGACTTACATACTCAATATTTTCATTGTTCATTCGTAATTTGACATTCGCCTAAAATATCACAAACACCCTCTTTTAGGATGTGTTTGGTACCCAAACGGGCATGTCATGGCAATTGTTCAATGTTTGGTAAAATATGACTGGATAGAGCATGACTAGTAAACCCCAAATAAGGTTCTTCTATCTTTCTACGTTCTGACTAATTTAAGTAATTTATTAAATTATAATAAAATAAATATTTTTAACAAAATATATCAGTAGAAAGTTTTCATCGACTAAAATGATACCAAAATAGGAAGTCTTTTAATTTCCAAATTTTATTTTATACCTTTTCTATATTATCTTTTCTTAATAATATTTAATAAATTACATAAAGTAACAAAATTATAGAAAACGTATAAAAATAATATTTTGAGGACAGTAAAATGAAAGTTTAAAGAGAATAAAATGCGATAAATAAAATTTAAAAGATAGATAAAAATGTAAAGATGGAGATGTATTTGATGTTTTAGAAGAGAATTGTTTTTTATTTTGATGATGTATTGGTAAAACATAGGTTTGTTCCACTTTGTCTAATGAGATAGGGGTGGAACACGTCTGTTCCACATAAAGTTATGTCAAACATGTAACAGTGATCCTTGTTCTGGTCTGTCATGTCCGGTGCACCAATCGTAGAGATTTTGACCCCACCCTCCTGATGACACAAGGATCAACTCCCCAACCAACATAGTGTTATTATCAAATTTCCTTGCAAGTCGCAAAGCAGGCTCACGTTTTTAAAGCACGTCACATTAGCTCGAGGGATTGATCACTACATGTAACGAGCATCATAGTTGTTGGGAATCGCCCGATTTACCATTTTTTGCTTGCAAGATTCCTCGATAAGCTTTTGTTCGTACCTTGAATCCTTCAACCGGATCTAATCCAATCCATCGCAAAGAATAAAATACTAATGGAGGTTCACGCCTAGCAACATTAGGCTCCATTAACCCTTTGGGTAGCTCAACTGATGAGACCTTTACTCCCTCGTCATCGTTTTGAGTCCTTGAAAGGACCACCGGAGGTTTGTCCGGTTGCTTTCTTGAAGTTGGTTGTGGACTCTTACTAGGGGTGTAAACGAGTCAAGCTTTCAACAAGCTACTCGAGCTCGTGCTTGTTTATCTCGAGCCCGAGCTTAATAATTCTCGAGTGAGTCGATCTCAAACACAAAATAAAACTTGTTTACCATAACGACCCGAGCTTCATAAATGATTGACTTGGCTCATTCGAAACTAGATCAAAATTTTTCGAGCCGAGCCGAGCTATTCGAGCATACACTTTTTCAAGCCGAACATGACAATATGTTCATAAATCACACAATAAATATATAATTATTAGCAACCGCGAGGCATTAAACGAGTTAATTGATCGTGAGTTCAAGCCCGTAAATGAGCATCGACCTCGAGCTCATAACTCAAATACGACTTGAGCTCCAGCTCGAGTCTTACATTGAAAAAGTTACAAGAGAGGGAAATCCATAACGCGGAGAGCCGGAGACTGAGAGGGAAATTGGTTGCTGTTCTCGATAGAAAGATTGACCTGACATAAGAGGGCGCTATATGCAAGAGATGGAGATAGGAACTTAGGAATACATACCGGAAGGAAAATTAGTGAACATGTTGACCCGAGAGAGAGACGGTAGTGAGTAGCCACAGGGCTCGAGGGAGGGAGGTCGCAAAATAAGGCCTAATTATTTCGATAATTTATACGCAGCATAGGAAGCCTAATCATTGGTGTATCGATAACATCGTATTCCTTGTTCTACATTTCCATGATTGCAAAGCAGATTAAAGGGGTGGGAATGAATGGAATGTGTTAAAAAGGAATTGCATTCAGAATTTGAATGGAATTGGATTTGAATCTGGTTTGGCCACGTATTTGGTTGACAAAAAATAGAATGGGATTTGTCAAAGGAATTGAAATCTGTCTCTTGGTTCTCATAATATAACTTTAGAATTGTAATGAAATAATGATAAATGACCAAAATACCCGTTACAAGATATCCGTACTTTCTAGCTTAAATTATAGATGTTGAGTAATGATAAAAATAATAATATTATTAACTGGTGGCGGTGGCGGTGGCGGTGACGGTGACGGTGGTGGTGGTGCAATGGTGCCAGGTGGTGGTGTTGGTTAAAATAGATTCATTTGTTATTTTTTTGTTTTTTAAGATCAAATTATAAAATCTTTGACATGGGTCAAGGAATGGAATTCAATTCCTTGACTTATCTAAAGGAATGATCAAATCCCTCATCTATGGAATTCGGCGGAATCCAATCAGTTCAAGGCCAAGGAATTGTGATTCCAATTCCATCGGATTCCTTCAAATTCCATGAACCAAACGACCCCTAATGTGTTTGGCCCATACTACCATTTTCCATAATTGAACTGTATCCCTTAAGCCGAACTATGTTTGGCCTATGCATGAACTACATGATTGTACAAACGATATCCTAGTGAGTGTGATAATGTGTGACAAGTGAAACACGGAAATATAAAAAGAAAGGAGAAAAGGAACTTACTTTGAGATTTCGCACTTGGTGTGGACATCCGGCCGGAATGAAAACTGCCTCTCCCACCCACTGTTCAAATGTCCATGGTTCTACACCTAAACGGTTCACAACGATCACATTAGTTGCTACAACTTATGAACACTAATGACGTGTGTCAGTATGTCACACACAGAGATAGGATCTGGTGGTAGGATGTATGCAAACTTTGCTTCTACGGTTCTACCACGAAGGGTAGGTTGTTTCCATAAATACTCCCAACTGTTTCCCTGTACAAGACCTTATTGGACTAAAATTTTGGAATGTAAGGGGTAAGTTGGTAAATACTAACCATATTCCTCTTTTAGCTTCCTTTTATGCTCCAAAGTCAAGTAAAATGCTTGATCATGAATAGGGTGATAAACCTACACAAATCATTCAAGCCTCAAGGGTTGGCTACAAAATATATAAAATTCAAGAAATTAACATATTTTCAAATTGAATGAAAATACAACGTAGTTTGGTCTAATTGCTATTAAATTCAACTTACTTTAAAAACCTTCATTTTAGTATCTCAGATGTGATACTTCAAACATTTAAACCAAGTACGTTGCAAAAAATAGGAATCAAATCAAAATACAATTTTAGATGTAAACAAAGTACCAAAGGGACTTTGGCCTAGCAGTGTAGGAGTCTTTGGCCTCCTAGGAGGTCAGAGGTTCAAACCTCACAAGATGTGAGGAGGGTGTGTGAGTTTCATTTGTTTTATTTTGCCTTGTATAATTATTTTATGCTTCAAAAAAAGTTACCAAAGGGTGTTGAGATACGCAACCCGTGTTTATGTCAGAATAAGACAATCAGTCAACTCATATATTGAAAATGTAAAAAGTAAGTCTTGATGTTGATATGTGTGAGGAGGAAATTAGTAGGTAGAGGTGCATTTAGTAATATATTGTGGTGTATTTAACCAACCCATACCCATACCCCTTTACCTAAATGTTTGAAATGTCACATCAGAGGTAGCAAAATGAAGTTTTCATAGCACGTTACACAAAATAGGAATCGGACTAAAGTACGTTACATCTCCAAGCAATTTATTACCCATCAAGAAATATATACATATACACACACACACACCCCCCGAAAAACTGAAGATTATAAACATACCTGACTAACGGGACAACCATAGGTGTGTCGAAATTCTTTGGAGTGCTTAGATAAATACTCCTCCAGCATCGGCACATCTTCCCTCCGGAATATATCCCAAAGAGCACCACCAGTTTCCTTCGTATCTTCTTGTGGAGGAAGATCATAAGACGAAACTCCCCTTTCACTTACAATATTCTCGTTTGAAGAGATAGATTCGTCTTTCCCTCCATTAAAGCCATTACCACATCGAACAAGATTTCCGTTCTTCTCTCTTTCATCCTGAGTCCGATGTCTTCTCTTTAACTTTTCGATCGCTAACTGCTGCTCATTGCTAATTGATACTTTCATGGTGTGTGTCAAAATATTCACCTGAATCATTACACACATCAAAATTTTTGGGTTATTAGCTAAATGACCTCTCGACAAGTGTTTTTTAAATCTATGACCTTCTGACAGGTTTCTAGGCATTCTTTTGTTATGTAGTGGCGTTCTCAAACCTGTCAGAAGGTCATTTAACCGACGGACCCCAGAATTTTATACATGACTATAATAAACCAAACCAAACGAACCTGATAAATTCCACACGAGTTAGGGTCAGGGGAGGTAAGATGTACGCTACATTTTATACATCTTACCTCTGTCCCAAAGAGATGTTTCCGTGAAGACCCCCCATCTTATAAAAAAGTTTTGAGAAAAAGATTTCGTGAATACAAATTGTAAGTTTTAAACAAGTTAAAAAAGCAAGAAAGGAGAAACGAAAGGTAACAAGAACGAAAAAACAAATATTAATATTAAATGCATACTGGAAGGCATTGAATGAATAAAATTTGTCATGTCCTCAAATCTCATATCTCTTCCATGTCATACCAATCATGTGGAGATATAAATTTATATCCTCAATCTCGTTAAGATGATGTGTTTTCACGTGACTGGTTAATGGGAACAGGACATGGCATTTCGGACAGGAGATTATTATTTGCATTGAACCGCTAAACTAAAGAAAAATGGTATACTAGCATTAGAATTGGAATAATACCGCATCCGACATATCACAATGAAGCTTGGTCACAGAATCCCCTCTTCCAAGTTCTTGGTCCATTCCATATGCAATATATGTCTTTGGGCCGAGATCGGGTTTCAGAACATCGGGTGGTAACTTCACAGCAAGATTAAGAAATCCCATCCTTGGATCAGTGTATTCTCGGAAAGGCAATGCACTAATGAATTCATCACAATGGCGTGGAAGAAGGTCCTCGAACTTATCAGACGGGGGCCAATCCTTCAGCTTCAACATCTCAGGCCACGAATTTAAATATTGTCTTCCTTCAGTGTAACCTTTGAAAAACTTCCGAGTGCTAATTTCAACCTGCATATTAGAACGTATTCAGAGGTTGATGATGAGTACTTCGTCCCAAAATCAACGTCCACAATGAAAAAGACACTTAGTTTTAGAAATGTGTAATTATTCACTTTTTAATTGACTAAATGACAGTTTTACCCTTAATAGTAGAGAAAGTAATGAATTTCCCCATCTCGTAATCAAGGGTAGAATTGGAAAGTAAGCACTTGCTTTTGAAATTGGACACTTCTTTTGGAACAAACTAGAATAGAAATGCGGACACTTAGGGGCTGTTTGGTTGGTTTTCCATTAGGTCCTGTATGGACAAAACTGTTTGTGTCGATTAATTTGTATGTATAGATTAGGAAGGTTTTTGTTTGGGAGGGTTTTTTCTTAGATGAAAGGAGTGTCTTTATTAATTGTGATGGGCAGGTTTGGGAAAAACTTGTCTTTCGGCATAAAGCTCCCCCTAGAGGCTTGAACAAAATAAGTCACTTTCTATATCATTAAGCCACTATCATACAGTTATGTATAGCCAACCGAATAAGTTGTAAGTCCCATTAAGCTTATTAAGCTGCTAACAAACAAGCCCTTACTTTGGGATAGAGCAGAATTACCTCACAGCCAGCCAAGCAATCAATGGTTTTCACGTCCGACATCTTTGAAGTGACGTTAGGATCCACATGTTCACATAATGCACGCCACATAACCATCGGCTCCCAGCTTAAACCAGTTGTCTGCTCCATGACCTGCCTGACAATTACTGGTTCTCCCTTAGCCCAGTGATGACGAAAACGGATGAACTCCTCCTTCTTCGAGACATCTTTGGATGCAGGGCAATATAGGTAGTTATCGTCCGATCCTTCCCTATTAGCTGCTCTTAAATACATATCACCGCTAGTTTCCAATGAAAATGACATAAGATTTGGTTGATCAATTCTCAAGTTATTCAACACACATTCCGCTCTTGCTTCCAGATTTGAGATCCAACCTTCTGGTAAGATGCGCTTGAGCTCCAATAAAGAATTCCCACATCCGCCAATTTCTTTTGGAGGACAACATAACCTTCCATCATTTTCAGCTACCCATTTTGTAGCAGAACCAGATTGGCTAGTTGAACTATTCTCATGAACAGTGGCTGGTAGCGGATCTCCGCCATGAATATAGTCGGAACCTCTATAGTAGTAGTACCCGAAATCAACTTTTCTTTGATCAAGAGAGCCATTCTTTCGTATTTCACGACAGCAACTAAGACAGAGCTCGTATGAGCATTTTGAACAACTTCGATGAAGATCAATGATTGATGTGGAGCAGTTGTTGCTGCTCCAATAAATAGCATACTTACAGTATAAGGTATTGAAGAGAATGTAGTCACGCATACATGTATATAGGGGCAGGTTCCTTTAGGAGCCTAAAATTGATTAGACGAGAACCGCCCACAACACGACACATGGCATATTCATCAAGAATATTCACATGTTATCCATCATGAATAGTGTAACATATTCATTCATGAATTTGTGATTCATTATGAATAACACGTCCATATTCAACATGAACGTGTTATTCATGATGAATATTCATCTTGAAGAGGGACACATGGCTGATGGCTCGCTGCAGGCGGTTCCTAATCAATTTTGGGTTCCTAAAAGAACTTTCCTCCATATATATATTTGTGTGTGTGTGTATACACATACACACACAAATCTGGTTATAAGAAAATTACCAATAGACGCGCTCATCATTGCTACAGTTGGTCTGCTCTATTTTGATTGAAGACTGTGAAACCCCTACACAGAAAATGAACGCTTTTGTTCAGTTGAGGTTTTTTATATAAATGAGTGGCTGTTAAGCTAGTTGTTGCTGATAACATAGTTGATAAACTAGTAATGTTTGGTAAAAACTACTTGATAAGCTAGTTAACAATGTAAAATGACCTAAACGGACATATTGAAATATTAATTGGAAAAATATAAGGGGCATAATTAGAAAAAAGTGAGAAATAACCCCTGGAGCTTATTGAAACGCTACTTCAAGTAGGGTTTCAATAAGCTAGTTCATGGCAAACCAAAAGAATAAGATCAAAAAATAAGTTAGCTTATGGTTCCCAAACATGGCCTAAACAAAGACTTCCCTTTCGAACACACGATTTGAGAGAAAAATATTATCAAGATTTACTTTCAAATGATTACCTTCAGTAAGTGCTTCCATGGCTATCTCCTCCATTTGTTCTTCCCGAATTTGTTTTAAAAACGGAAGGAGTGAGTTGATTAGATAGTGAAGATGCTGCAACTTCACATCATCATCAAAGTCCATTTTTGGCATCTGTTTTTAGTAGCATCAACATTAATTGGTTAGCACATGAATTTCTTCCACATTTTCCCGTCTGTAGAATACATCACAAACCTTAATGTTCGAGTATAAGCACACATTGCAATTGCAGTTTCCACGACAAAACGGGCATAGCTCCGCGATTTCTTCTTCTGACAATTGAGGATACCTGAATTTTCAAGAAATATATTTGGTTAATGACAAAAAACAAGATTATCTAAAGTAATAAAATGGCCAAAAATTGGAACAAAAATGCTCCACAATCTCAAAGCAGGATTCTGGTAGAGATTTACCATTGCTTGATGCACCGGGTACAATATAACTTTTCTTTACACTTGGTGCAAGGAACAACGATTTTTCTGTCGGTTCTCTTACATTGGTGACACTTATAAGGCTCCTTTCCATTTCTCTCTATACCATTCAGCTCATCTACTGACCTTAAAAATGCGTCTTTATAGTTCACTTCAATTTCACCATCATCTTGATCTTCAACTTCAGAGGTTAGTTTCTCATCTGGAATGATGGGATCTTGATCCTTTTTTCGGTTGTATTTTGAAGCATTAGATCTTCGTGATGGATATGGAGTGAACCCATAATCATCTTCGTCTTCTTCCTCTCTATAGTCCTCATCAAAGTCACCGACATCATTTTCGTAATTCAAAGATGTTTTCTTGCTTATTGAGCATTTTGATCTCCCATACAGGCCTTTGATTCTATGAGCCCCGCATTTCTTGATCAAGTTTCTATCTTTTCGAGTTGACCCAGCATCTATTTTTGTATTTACATCTCTTCCTTTCATCAAGTCATCAGAAAAACAATTCTTGGAGACAATGGCACGATTTTGCATGATATTCCTACCATGAAAATCTTTAGTTTGCAAACAATGAGAGTGTTTCTTGATAGGAATTCTTGTCCTTTTCATTGATGACTCCTGGTCATCCCGTTTTCGAGAATCAATAAGCTCTTGGACCTTTCTCTTTCTTCCAAAACCAAGAACACAAGTTGTGACTTTTTGTCTTTTATTTATTTCATTAGTAGCATATTTTCTCACCTCGTTTTCATCAGGAATTAGCACCTCCATCTTCACTGCCAACACATATAACAGAGAGAAACATTTAGGGAACAGAATTTGCCTACACCGCTTGGATTAGAAATTTCGTAATTTTTCAAGAAGGTGCAATTCCATTATTAGATCATCTACAGTTTTTATTCTATTGAAAATTGTTACATCCCCGGCCAATCGTACCACATGTTGTCCATACCTGGACTCATGGTTACTAAGCGGACGATATCTGGTATGGTTGGCCGGGGATGTTACAAAAATGAAACAGATAAAGACTCAAACATTAGATTATATCAACTCACCCAATCAATAAAACTACGTTTAGAAACATTCTAGATCCTGTTGAACACAACAAATCAAACATCATATAATATATATTCCCTACATCCGAAAAGATACAACCCTTTCCATTTTAGGATGTCCCCCAAAAAAGTAACATCAATCTCTTGAAATGAGTAACTTTGATTATGGTCCACAAGTTTTTTTTTTCAGGGGGAATTTTAAACATCTGATCTATAGTTAATCATCTTCATCAAACTTCGTACCAATTCTTTGGAGGAGTCAAGGAAATTGACAAATTAGCCATTTTGCACCAACATCTTCATTTTTTAGCCAACTTTTTCATGTTTGAACCAAAATAGCCAAGATTTCGCAAGTGACCATTTCACAACTTGCAAAATATACTTTTTATGAATAAAATATGATTCCTGTCGGCCATTTTGCAAGCCAAATTGACACTTTACAAGCCGCCACACTCGTCCGCAAGCGGCCCCACCAGTCATATTTAATGCATAAAAAGTACAATTTGCATGTTGTTGAGATGGATACTTGTGAAATCTTGCTATTTGGGTCAAATTAAAAGGAAAAAAAAAAAGATAAAAAGAAGTGAATAATGTTGTCCAAAGTAGCTAGTTTGGTCAATTTCCCGAATCCGTGAGTAATCAAGTAACTATGATCAAATTGATTGAATCTCTAGTTTGACACTTATCATAAAACACTGAACTTTGTCATCCACAAACATAATTCTTCACACAGTATGATAATTAATAGTTCGATAAGTTAGAACACTAATCAACAATCTAACATGCTCTTCCATGATCACAGACCAATTTAATCATGTGGAATTCATCAATATCATGCAATAACTAAGATCATATACATTATACATATAACTAAAATATGAACATTCAATAAAATTTCAGAAGTGAGTTCTTCACGATTTAGGAATTAGGTAGAATCTCTATTCCAACTAAGTTTACAACCACTTTCTCCAATCGAATGAATCACTGCCAAATCATATACGTGCAAATTGCAATCATATGAATGTACGTAATCCACAGAAACAAAAAGAAACGAAATCCTAATTACGAGAAATTCAACGATAACAGCGAAGAAAACTCACCGAATTCGTTGATTTTAGCTCCGCAAATCACGACAAAAGGAATACCATCAATGGTGAACGATTCTGCTATCGCTCAAATCGAAAAACGATCTGACGGATTTCATGCGAACATCAAGAGATATACACAACAAAACTGAATCCGAAATCTTTGATTGTAGAGAGAGAATGGGGGAAGGTACGTATATTGGAAACAGAGGATGCAAAACAGTGGGCTTGCCATATTTCTATGTTCTTTGCCTTTCTTTGCAGGCCTTACCGTACAACATTTAACAGAATCGCATAATTTTAATCGCAACAAAGAGGGTTTGGGTTTGCCTGTAAAAGTTATTTATTTGACTTATTTCGGTGTGATATCAGTAATAAGCATTTTTTAGTGTTTGAGTAAACAACTTATATCGGTGTCAAACCGGTAACAAGGAGTTTTTTTAAGAAGTTAAACTCTTCTAACTTATAATAAATTGATAAGGATTTTTATAGAAAATCATGTTTTAATAGAACAACATAAGTTGTTTTAAATAAGCAATCCTAAAATTTATAAAATTAAATTAAATAATTTTATGTTTTTATTTTAAAATTAATTTTTTACCATAACTTTCTATTTTTTATATAACGATTATTTTGTTCGACAAATGATCGTGTGAGAATAGAAGTTAGGGACGGATTATGGTTTTTTATAGGACCAATAAACAACTCTTAAACTTGTATCCGATACGTCTTCATCTTTTGAGAACGGTCAATATATACCCATTACAAAAGGTATGGTTTTTATAGAATTAAGAAACAACTCCTGAATTATTAACGTGCCATCATGAAGCGTAAGTCTGTTTTTTTTACTCCAACTATTGAATCCCTTCATCACAAATGCATCCATCTCATGATTTCCACCTTGGTCTCTGAACAAGTAACAAGGCAAACAATATGCTCTGTCTACTTTTACAATGTATTCCAATCATTGAAATTGATCAAACCAAGTAACAACAAACCGTCTTGCTTTAGCTCCTATAACTTTGGTTGGAAAATCATGACCTTGTGGTTGACAAGGCCCCTTTTACCAAATATTTTCGTCTAATTTCATCTCTTTGATTTGGGTTATAATTTTGGGTCTCTCTGATGGATTTCAAGTAAGATTATTAACATCAATCACATTAATATTGGATGCATTATTACCGGTTGATGAAGCTTTTCGTTTCAAAAAAATGTCCATATCATGTTATCAACACAAAGTAATGAGGCAATGAACTGTAAAATGTAAATACAACAATAAATAAACTAACATGAAACAGAGACGAAAACACCGAAGAATTAATATTTATCACAATTCACAACGACACAATCAAGATCAAGACATCTAAAATTGTATTGATGAAGTAATCAGTAACGTAAAACTGTAAAATGTAAAATTGTAAATTGATCAAGTCATCAAGACATCTAAAATGTAAAATTAAATTGATATTTGATCAGATAATCAAGACTCAAGACTTCAAGAGTCATGAGTAATCTAATCAACATCATCAACAGATCAAGACATCAAATAATCAAAGATTCAAGAGTAAAAACGGATGCATAAATCTGAAAATAGAGACCAAATAGGCAAATAGCACTGTAGCAAGCGAGTTGATCGAGTCTTAAGTGAGTTGATTCGTTCCTAGTCCTGGTCGCACTCGAGAATCGTCCGATTCATTCTCCGGTTTCCGATTTCGTCTCGTCCGATTCTGCGATTCGCACTCGTCTCTCTCGCATCTGTTCCGATGTTCGTCTCGGTCTCATCCCACATAGTATACAGCCACGGCTTTGTTTGACCGGCTAAGGCCTTTACATTTGGGCTTTAAAGTTTCAATTTGATTTATTTGGGCTTTAAAGTTTCAATTTATTTAGGTTTCTAATTTACATAACTGGGGCTTTCAATTTATTTGGGTTTAATTTAGAATTGGGCTTCCAATTACTTGGGTTTCAGTTGCATCATTTTAAGTTTCAGGAATAATACGATAGCACGTTCTAAAACGATACGATTGCATCGTTCACGAACCTAAAAAATGTACCCATCAACGAAGGAATAATACGGTGGCACATGCCACCTATACCACCTAAACAGGTTCGTCCTTGATAGGAGTTAAACACGAGAAACGGAAGAATGAATTTGAACCCATGATCAATTTCTAAAATTAAACCCTCACCCAATGAACTCCATGAGAATTCCATCGTTGAATTCCGTCGTTAATTCTTCGCTGATAGCATTACCTACGAGTAGGGGTGAGCAGCGAAACCGGGTACCCGTTTGCGGAACCGGAACCGCCTTGGAACCGCCGGTTTCGGAACCTGAACCGATATGAGTGGTTCTGGTTCCGGTTCTCAATTTTTTGGAACCGTTACCCGCCGGGTATCCGCCAGGACCGGTTCTGGGACCGGGTACCCGGAACCGACGGGTACCTTGAACCGGAACCGGCGGGTACCCAGTATTTTTCAATAAAAAAATAATTAATTTTTTTAATACCAAATGTATATTATGTTACATCTTCAAAGGACGTGGTCATCTTCATTCTTCATCAACTTTCTAGTTCTACTAAACTACACTTCATAGTATGTAATCGTTAAGTTTTGAACATTTACAATTATAGTATGTAATCGTTAAACTATGAACATTTTCTATTAGTTTATTATGGTTTATAATCGTTAAACTATATTTGTAACCATTATTCCGTATAATTTGTATTCTTGTTTATTTAATTTAGTGTTTTGGCAATGTTTTATTTTTTATTTCTAAATAACAAAATTTTAATATTTTAGGAAGCGGGTACTCAGAACCGGAATCGGTTCCCGGCGGTTCCGGTTCCGGTTCCGGTTCCGGTTCCAAAAATTCAAGAACCGCTCTAACCGGTTCCGGTTCCGGTTCCGGTTCCAATATCTCAAGAACCGCCGGTTCCGGTTCCGGTTCCGGTTCTTGTCAAAAAGGGCGGGTACCCGCCTATGCTCACCCCTACCTACGAGGTTTTGACCGATGGACGATTAGCGACGGAAGACCCCTTTAATGACGGATCAGCAAGGAAATTTTCCATCGCTGATACTTTCACTTCGAGATAATGAACTCTTTGCACGAACGTATAACCAACTTGGCTGCATTTTACCAATAATAAAATAGCAAATACTATCAGCTTAGTAGTTTTCAACTTTTTTTTTTTCATGTATATATTTGACAGTTTTTTTTACATCTTTTCGGTTTATGTAAAGTTTGATGTTAAAATTACGCATTTGTCCATTCGCATCGTTTCTCTCTATGTTCCGCTAATGTAGTTTACAATACTGTCGTTCACACGACCTACTTGTAGAAGCTCATTCATGGTTTATGCTTTTCTTCAATGATCTCTGGGTGTGACGGCTCTGAAGCGTTGCTTGTTTTGCTAGCCGTTGGTGTGTTTTGACGGGACTGTCTTTTGGTGGGGACCATCGTCGCCCTGTCGTCCAAATGGAGCGCATCTTCATCGTCAAAATCGTCATCCTTGAAAACGGGATGGATGTAAGCGTTTTCAAGGTATCCTTTTAGGTTCAAGTTTAGGTTTGGTTCCCTTACTCGGTCGAGAGTGTCTTTATTGATGGCTTCCTGAAAACCCGACAAAAGCGGTTTTTTACTACAAATTAGTTGTCGATACTTGAAACCATATGAACCGAGTCAAGACTCAACTATCCCCAAATAGAGATGATCATTTGTGGGCTTGAGTCGGGCAAAGAGTCATGTCTGTTTTTTTGTTCAATGGGTCTGATATAGCAAAGCCCATTTCCGTAAGCTTGTCAACGGGCTAATGGGCTAAAACATGTTTTACATTTAAAAAACACTTGTATAAATCACCCATAACGTAAAAACATTCAAAATACATAATTTTTTTCCCAATGCCCGGAACTTTTTTCATCGCCCAGGCCATTAATTTTAACCTTCCAGCATGGTCCGTCCATATTTTCGAAAATGGTTGTCCAAAGTTGTTTTTCCAACGGGCCCCATGGACCCGTTCTAGTGAGATGTATTTTCCGTTTACGTAAACCCATGAAAACCGACTCTATGAGCCAAGCTCGAACTCATTCCAAGCCTGGCAAGCTCGAGCCCACCAAACTTTTCATCAATCAAGGCTTGAGCCGTTTCCCCTCATAGATCTCGGGTCTAATCATAATACTTTTAACCATTTGACTTTTCTACGAATTTCCTCGATATAAGAAAGAACACAAAATAAACGTTAAGACTTCCTACGAACCTGCAACGGATATCGGGTAAACGCGGGTTCAAACCGGCCTTTACAATACATATGGAAACCGATGGTGAGAACTGGAAGTGCAAGGAGAACCGGAGTTGAAGCAGCCGCATGTTTCGTGCTCAACAAACCCATCAAAAGAACTTGCGATATAATTAACGCGGTGATCACACGTCCGTGGACATCCGGCCAAAACGCTGCTCGGCTTTCGTATTTCGGGTTGTATACATTTATTATCTGCATTTCAACACAAACAACTTACAACCCAAACCATGCAAACCTAATATATCCCATCTGGGATCTGGTGTGGGATGTACACTGTCCTGACCTTTGCCCAAAAGTAAAACAGTTGTCTCTTTATCATGCCCTAAAAATTGGGGTTTCCGATACAAAATTTGGTTTTGTTCCTATTTAGTGTAATGAATCATGCCATTTTTGTCCTTATGATTTATAATTTGTTGTTATTTTGTTCTCTATGGTTTACAATTCTTTACTGTTTTAGTCCCTTGCACTTTAAAGTAGGAATTAGTCGAGGGACGAAAGTAGCAATAAATTGTAAACCATAGGGATGAAAATCGTAATTACTAAACAACAAAGACGAAAATCGAAATTATTAACAAACCACAAGGACGAAAATCGTAATTTACTCTTGTTTTTTTCTCAACTGATAATAATAGTAACAAAGTTTCAAATTTTCCTATTTTGTAAAAAACGACACTTTACGGGTAAAGAAATTGGTATGTAAACAAACTCGAAGGAAACACCGGCAAATTACCTGATGACGAAAAACAACGAAAGCCAGGCCAAAAAAAACCAAGATAAACGGGATTAAAAGTGGCGTCACCACGGCGTAAACAAGGCCGATGAGAAAATAGAATTGAATCTGAGGTTCTCCGGTGTTGAAACCGATGGTTCCGGGATGCATAGCCTTTTCTCGATCCCGTTCGGTTTTAACTAGAAAAATGTTCTTCAAATGATAGATTACCAACGGCTTCAACCGCAAAATCTCTCCGGCGGTACCACTCCACCCGTCAACCATTATATACGTAATGAAGAAGGTTGCTTTCATCGGAATAGCGATGCCAATCGTCTCCGGAATCCTGACATTGCCCGTAAAAGATTTGTAAAAAAGCGAAGAAAAATGCATCATTTGGACTACATAATCGGATTCAAACGAACCAAAATGATCCAGTTCCGATTTTTGGAGATGCTTTAAATAACATACCGATTTGCGGATTGATTTAGAAATGTATTTAGTTGTTCAAATGCGGCCCCGGCGATAATGCTACCGAGAAACACGTTCACGAAGTTGAAAAGATAGTATCTCGAAGCGGATCTCCTCTCGAGTCGCGATTTACTTAGAAATCCTTCGAATTTAGACATCGCCATCAAGATTTTCGGTAGTAGGATGAGGAAGATCTTTAACGCGATCCCGGGTAAAAAACCTTGGATGAACGACTTGATTGGCTTTCTGCATAGCATTACATGAATTTCCGTTAAGGAAGCCCGAGTAACAAACACAAGACGAAAAAAACCCGTCAAAATCGTGTATGTGACATCCCGTCCCACACCATATAGGGTTTATTTAAAAAGAATAACCTTCTGAAAGGATTTCTTTAAATGCATGACCCTCTGACAGGGTTTTTTTAAATGCATGATCTGCTGATAGATTTAAGAACACTTCTGCCTAACAAAAGAATGTTTCTTCCGAACACAAGAATGCCTGAAAATCGTAATTTTAGGTGTTTAGAAGCTATTTGGGTCCGTACGATTGCTTCGGCCCGAGATGTTACAATGCAACTTAAAGTAAGCATGAGTACATGAGCGACGCGGCTTATTTACATGAATAACCTTCCGACAAAAAATTAAATTAAATTAAATGCACAACCTTCTAACAGATTTTGAGGCATTCTTCTGTTAAGAAGAGGTACATTTTTAAATCTGTCAGAATGTCGTGCATTTAAAAAAATGTGAGAAGGTTATTCTCCTAAATAACCCAGAGAGCGGGGTTGGAAACGGACGTGTAATACATCCCCCATCCCCGACCCCGCTCGGGTAATGCCATCCTCAACCGTACCCCGACCTTACTTCGGGTATGAAATTAAATCCTCGCCCCCGCCCCGTTACCAGCCAAACCGACTAATTCCCGTCCTGTTAGGGTCGTGTACTCACGGATACCCGCCTATCCATCTTTACCTAAGAGCGAGGGGAACTTACATATGGATTATAGGCTTAAGGAAGGGTGCGACCTTCTCGATACCTTCAATGTTTGCAAGCGATTGCACAAACGTAATGGGAATCATGAAAAAGAACGTGAGGAAAAAGAACGCTACTCCCATTGTAACCTTTCGAATAATTAGCGAGACGTGAGGAATAGCGAGGTTTTTCCAATATACGTCTCGTGGCTCAGGGGCCCACTCGGTCAACCACAGCGTCGGGTTTCTAGCTTGTTGTGTTTGAGCACAAACAGCGGCTCCCCAACGAGTTTTGAACGAGACGAATGCCGCGGGCATGATGGCTTTCGGGTTATTCATCACGTTTTTTCTCTCTTCGGCTATCTGAATATAAAAATAATCCGTATTGATGAAAGCGTATCACAAATACATACGAAATCATGAAAACAAACATATCCTAATTCTTCTCGAAATTGCAACGTTTATTTTGGGACAGGGAGTAATTATGAGTAATACTTTGTTTTTATGAAAGATTTAACAAATAAAATGTAGTGGAAGCATATGATCCGATGAACGATGGATGATTACTTGGTTCGAAAGTTTCTCAATTTCGGTTTCATGATGCTCGATAGCATCAACTTTCGCTCCCCAAAGCCCGTGAAAACCAGTCTGTCGATCAAGAAGTTTCTGTTAGCGTTTTTAATATAAGAAAACAGAATCCAAAAGACGTCTACCTCAAAGATCGTACCTTCATCATAGGTCGTTTTGATGGATCTTTCGTATACTTAATCTGGTAGTAATCAAGCCAGTTTTGCTTCTTCTGTTTCGTCTTAACGAGTTTTGCGAGCTTGTTTGCGTTACAAACGACCTGCAAATCATTTCGAGCTTGAAACACAGATTATGATACAGAATTAAATTAGCAAAAATCGAAGCTATGACACCTAAGCAAACCGAACAAGCCTGGTATATGTAGGGATGGAAACGGGGGGGGGGGGGGGGGGGGGGTAATATATCCCCCGTCCCTGACCCGCACAAATACCGGGAACTTGATAGCGGGACCCACATAAATAACAAAAACTAACGGGAACTTGATAGTCACACGGAAAAAAAAGGCATTTTTAGTTGGTGTCGTGTGTATGTGTGAGAACAAATAAGAGAGTTAGACCTGATGAGTTAGATAGTTATCGTGGTGGTTCACTAAAAAGAAGTGTTGAACCATCTCGCTAACCGACTCGTGAGCATCGGGTGGGACGTTCTTCACAAGAACCTGCAAACGATCGTTTTTCCTCAAAATGTTAAGAGAAAATAAAATCGGGAAACGCATTGAAATCAAATATTTTCCCATGAAGCGACTCATGTATCTGAACCCTGTATTCATAAACCAAATGAACCCAGTATATCCCACCCGCAGGTGGGGTGCAAGGTCGTTTCAATTTTTTGGAGGTCATAGTACAATTTAAATAAAACAACATATAAAAGTTCATAACATATATTATAGAGTAAATTACGTTTTTCGTCCCTGTCGTTTGTCAAAAATTGTTATTTTCGTCCCTATGGTTTAGAAATAGCGTTTTTCATCCCTATGGTTTGTAATTCATTGTTATTTTTGTTTTTATCATTTACAATTTATTGTTGTTTCCTTGAAGACCCCCCGCTAGTGAATAGTTTGTGAAAGGGAGAAATATGGATATGCTAAAGAGAGACAATTCAACTAGCGGACGACTTGTATTTGTGTAATCTTTAAGTTGTTTTAAGAAAGACAATTCTACTTACGGTAAATTGATCGGGGCGATGCTTTTCCGATTGAAGAAAGTAAAACCGCATATTTGCAATTGTCTCGTACTCTTTCTTCAACATGAAGCATGTCCAAATTGTAACAACATACGCCATTGCTACATGAGCCCAAAACCTGCAATCGTCATACGTTAGGCACCAAACTCTACTACTCCCTCCTTCCTAAAATAAGTGTTTACTTTCAAAAGTAAGGGCCTGTTCGTTAGCAGCTTATTCGGTCAGCTATACATGATTGTTTGATAGTCGCTTAATGAAATATAAAGTCTTATTCAGTAAGCTTCAAGGGGAGCTTTATGCAGAAAGACACGTTTTTCTCCTAACCTACCCCTCTCGATTAAAAAACATGCTCTTCCATCTATGAAAAAACCTTCCAACCAAAAACCTTCATAGTCTATATAGACAGATTAATCCACACATTGTCATTTCTAAAACGGTGTGCCTTTTTTGTTGTGAACGGTTATTTTTGGGATGGATGGAGTATATACACAAGATGCATATGACATTAACGGCCAAAATGAATAGAACGGAAAGACCATGATTGGAAGTAAGATTTCCATGCCTTGGAGATTTGTGTGGAATGTTTGATATAGAAAGCTTGTCAACTTCGCTATAAGTTTCCGTAGAGTGCTCCAACGTGTTGTTTGTCCAATTAACAGGAATCAGAATAGCCCACGTAAGGAAGAATATGGGAACAAATATTTTCAACCTGCATACATAAATTACATAAAAAATTTATAAGGAGACCATATTGCAAACTGTGAGTGATATAAGGAATCGTTATGAAGATCTCTCTTAAAAGAGCCGTTATAGAGGGATGGGAGCTTCCTACGTATGTACAGGTTTGATGGTATACATCTAGCTGATGTGGGACTCTAACACTCCCCTTCAAATAGAGGCTAGAGCTAGACGGTGCCCCTAGAACGGAGCACAAAGCATTTGTCGAGTCCCTTGACGCGATTTGATACCATGCCAGTGATATGTGGAACCCCTTTGAATCTCTCTCTAAAAGAGCCTTATAGAAAGAGGGGAAGCTACTCTATATATATATATATATATATATATATAGAGAGAGAGAGAGAGAGAGAGAGAAAGAGGGGAAAGTTTTGTTAGGAACCTGGGAACCGCTCACAGCGCGCCATGTGTCCCTCTTCAGAATGAATATTCATCATGAATGTGGATATGGAAGTGTTATTCATCATGAATCACAACATTCATGATATGTGGACGTGTGATTCATCATGAATCACAACAATCATGATGAATATGTTACAACATTCATGAAGAATAACACGTCTATATTCCTGAATAAGATGCCACTTGTCGCCCTATGGGCAGTTCAAGGGTTCCTAATCAATTTTAGGGCCTAACGGAACTTTCCCCTGTATATATTATATAATAAATATATATACAGGTTTGAGGATCCATGTCTAGCTGATGGGGGACTCCAACACAGATGATTCAGGCAAAAGGAGTGAAGTAGCATACCCTAGCAAGTAAATCCGCAAATACACAGCCGAATCCAAACCAGCATGATCGATGAGTTCAGCTTCCGGCATTGTCAGTGCATCCGGCACCCAATTAAGAAACTTTATATATGACCGATAATCCAAATTGACAAACTTCCTTACAAATGTCCCCGAGGCTGTAGGGCTCGTCCTTAAACCTTTTATATACCATTTAGCAAAGTATACCCGATCGTTCACGGGTTGAAGCCGAAGGATAGCAAACGCTATAAGAAAAATGAGAGCACTAATGATATTAAAAGCTGCTGCTACCCCAATATCCCCAATTGTAGCCATCTAACCTTCTTGATTTAGGGTCTTGAATCTTTCTGTTTTAAGAGAAAAAAACAAGAAAATGAAACCAATATCTTTCATGGGTGCGTTTCAAATAAGTAGGCTAAATATCGTGAGAATGTAAGAAGGGGACATTCATATGTGAATCATTGAAAAAATGGGGGGAAATCTATTTGAAGATGCATATGTCAATCAACGTTAAAGATTATTCATATGGGTTCACATATGCATCTTCAAATGGATTTTTTCAATGATTCACATATGAATATTCCCTTAACACATAGAAATATCCAAGTTTAGTCCTTGAAAATTTGTCGATCGTTTTACAGATTTCAGATTATTTCTCTCCTACACACAAACATATAAAGAAAACATGGATAATCCTTCGGATTTCATGAGTGATAATCAGCAATAATTTCATAAAGATCATTAAACCCTTAAACAACAAGTACATGAAATGAGTAAAAGAGCAAGTCCATACTTTTTTCCCCATGAATGAAGTACTCAAGATTCAACAAAAAGTCAAAACCTTTTTGCAGAAATGATCATGGGTTCAAGAAAAAACTAAATTAAGCAAAGGAAAGAGCCTCCTAAACATGTGGAATTTTTGTTTTCTTTCTCCCTAAATGACATATTCACTACAATGCTCAACAAAAAGATGATTTCTTTAACCACTCGGGTTGTTGTGGCGCACTGATTAAGTGGTTGTTTGTTTACCTCTTAATAGTTCCATTAAAAGGCAGCCTCTGAATCATTAAGAGGTGATTCTTGTTTGGCAAAAAAAAATCTATCTCTTAATGGTTCTAAAACCCTCTTAATGATTTTGTATCATGGGCCTCCCTGAACCATTAAGCTCCTTAATTTCATCGTAAACAATTATCAAACAACTATATTTCATTTTGCACTATATCATGAGAACCTCTTAATCATTCTGACCACTCATTTTGTATCAAATTATTCAGCAACTTACGAACAGCCCTTAAGTCTTAGGGGTTGTAGTGGAAATCTCAACTTCCTGGTTCGATTCGAATACACAGCTGCCAAAGTCCTTGTGGTCATGGAGGTTCACCAACGATGAATTCAGGCCATTCGTGGTCGCCGAATGATTAGTCAGTGCACGTAAGCTGGCCCGTATGCCCACGGTTAACCATAAAAAACGATTTTTTATGAAAAATGGTAGAGGGTTGTTCAAGAAAAATCTAAACAATCAAAGGAAAGAGCCTCCCAACATACAAAACTTTGGTATTTTTCTCCCCTAAATAACATATTAACTACAATCCACAACAAAGAGATGATCATGTATCAAAAATCATGAAGGGTTTTCAAGAAAAAAAAAAAAGCAAGAAACTTACTCTTCAAACAAACATTCGGAGCTCCATTCCAGTATTCGGACCCATTTGACGAACCCAACAAATGAAAATCGAAAACCCAGATTAGATATATATGGAATCGATGGAAAGAGAGATACCCATTTCAGAGATTGCTTCAGAGCTGAATGAAAGCTAAGAACATTCCCTAACTCTGTAAGAAGGGAAGCTGCAAAAACGAATGCTTTGTATGCAAACAACATCGCTTAAATTTAATCGCTTTTTGTTGTAGTTTGTGATTGAGAATTTAAGTGATCAGAGAAGAACAAGAGGATTTGAGAGTGGAAGAATGAAGAAGGAATGAAAGAACATGGTGGTTTCTTTGTATTTTTAGACAGTGGGATGTAATGGAAGAAACGAATGTGGAAATGATGAATTTGTGCTTTTTTACCCCTTTTGTTTATGGTAATTGCACTTGACCCCCTTCTAGTTTTTGAAGGAATTACAGATTTACCATCTTCGAAACTGAAAACGGGTCCCGTCTGAGATTTTCCTTTTGTAATTGGTTTCGACCAAAAATACCTGGCCTGTTTTTTATGTATAAAGTTTGGTTCCTATAATCGGTCACCCAGGCTGGTTCCAAATCAGTCCAAGGACGAACCAATAAAAATTTTCAAGTTGTGACATCATTTGACTATAAGAAACAAATATAGAGATATTTTTTCATAAAACCATTCTTAGTCAGTTGATTAATTCATTGTTTTTATATCTAAGCCTCTGAGGTGATGTGTTCAAGTTTTATATTGCAAAAAAAATCATAATTACGATAGATCTGAAATTAAAAGTTAAAAACAAGAAATGACACCGACGAGATTTGAACTCGGGTCTAGGATGAAAGGAAAGCCTTAAAACTCGACTTTATAAAGAGATACTTTTGTAGTTTCAAAATATATATATATATATGGTGGCACACAACGAATTGATACAGTGACACTTTTCACGGCCCTATGATTTTTTACACTATAACGGAGTAACGAAAAAGTGGCATGTGCCACCACAAAAATGGCTACGTTCGTCCCTGAATCGGTCCCAAAAATCAATTTTAAACATTTTAAAATCTTTTTTGTATAATGTTTTATTAAAATACATTTTAAAATCTCTAATTGGATCATTTAAATACATTTTAAATTTTATTTTAAATATTTTTTCACAGAGAAAATGTTTCTATAATTTATGATCTTTGAAATTTAGCGTTCCAACACTTAAAAGATAGTGTTTTCTGAATTTAGTTGAAAAGGGATATATATGAAGTTGGACTGTCCTTTTATTACGGCATGCTCATTGGATCTGTTGGTACTCCGCATTTTCACGGAGAATTCAATTTGAGCGTGTGTATAACTGGTCCCGGTCCCATAACGGTCTCAGACCAGGGCAAGCCTTGAATTTTCATTAAAAAAAAAAACATAATCGGTCACGGTCCTAAGTCGGGCCCATTTTGGCCATTTCTAATCAAAACCATCATCTTTTATAGAGACATTATCGTTATCTCAAAACAATATAAAATAAAAACATTATCGTTTTCTTAAAACCACATAAAATCGTATTATATCGATAGAGACAAAGAATAAAAACTAAACATTAAAATCGAGATTTATCTCGCTGCATTACACGAGCACTCTTCTGGTGTACAATAATACAAACAACTAGGGCTGTAAACGAACCGAACGTTCAGCGAACCGTTCGTGAACCGTTCGGCGGGAAGTTCGTTTATGTTCGTTTATTTAATAAATGAACGAACATGAACAATTTTTTTTGTTCGTTTAGTTAAACGAACGAACATGAACAAGAACCTCGTTCGTTCATTTATGTTCGTGAACGTTCGTTCATTTACCGTTCGTTTACGTTCGTTCATTTATGTTCGTGAACGTTCGTTCATTTACCGTTCGTTTACGTTCATTCATTTATCGTTCGTTTATGTTCGTTTATATATTAAATTTAATATACAATCTTTTATTTAATTACTTATAATTCAAATAATATTTATTTATGTTCGTTTAGCCCGTTCGTTTATGTTCGTTTAGCCCGTTCGTTTATGTTTATTTAGGCTGTTCGTTTATGTTTGTTCGTTTACGTTCGTTTAGTATGTTAACGAATGAACATAAACGAACACGAACACACATTATTTCTAAACGAACGAACACGAACACAAAGATTTTCGTTCGTTTACCGTTCGTGTTCGTTCGTTTGTTCGGTTAAGTTAAACGAACGAACATGAACAAGCCTCCGTTCGTGTTCGTTCGGTTCGTTTACAGCCCTACAAACAACACCTACATTCCCCATTCCTTGAAAAGCCCAATGGGCCTTGTTATAAGGTGTTTGATCCAAATCTTCAAATATTGAAATTGGGCCCAATGTGAGCTTAAGAAGTCGACAATAATGAAAAAATCACATGTGGTTTAATTGTTTCATGTTTTTTTATTTGATCACTCTAATAAAATATACCTTATTATTAATGTGTCCACATGCTTATGATTTTTATGTTGTTAAAATAAAATAAATTAGAGCAAATTGCATGAAAAAACAACGTACCTTAACTTGATTCCTATTTTGGGTAATACTTTCAAAACTTTCATTTTGGTATCTAAGATATAAAGTTTTAAACATTTAAGTACCGAAGTAACCGGTTGAAAATTAATTTTAAATTTAAAAATTTGTATGTCATTAACCACGTCAACAAATAATACTGAGTTGGATACCACATCATTCGTTACATCAACATAATAACCGGATAATGTTTCAACCAGTTACCCGGATACTTAAATGTTTAAAATTTTACCTCTTAGGTACCAAGATGGAAGTTTTGAAAGTACGTTACTAAAATAAGGATCGAGTTAAAATATGTTATTTTTTCATGCATTTTGCCCAATAAATCATTACTTTAACTATGTATTTTTTACAATCATATTTAATTAATTACTTACTTATTAAATTAAAATAATATTATAAGCAAATCACGTTGGTGTTTCTGAATATTGGTTTCGTGTACGAGCTCTTAAAGTTACCGCTAATCAACTTTTTTACTCAAATATTATCGACAAATTAAATTCACCCGGACCCATTTTAACATGAAATGAATTGACGCGTTACCCCACTCATTCAACCAGCATTTTATCACCTACAATTCACCTCCTTTAATGTCAGTAGAAATGAAAAAATACTGACTGTAATATAAAAATATTTTTTTATTATTATTTATATATTACAAAATTATTAATTTGCATGTCAAAGTCTTGAAAAACAATAGATGAATTAGTGACAATCAATTTTAAAAAAGGTTAGAAGGAATATTAGTTGGTCAAATAATTTTCTAAAAAAATAACAATATTAGCATATGATTTGATTAAAAGATTATAAAAAATCTAAGTAGGTATTTGATATATTATTTGTTTATTATATATATATATATATATATATATATATATATATACTATATTATAAAGTATTTGAATAAGAACTCTTAAAATTTTTTTTTTATACATGAAGTACTTTTTATTGATGCATATTACTTAAAATTCAAGATTACAAGTAAATTGTGCTTAAGTGCAACTTATTAAGCTTCATGTTTGAATTCATGTAAATAACTGTAGATAAATATAATCAAATACAATACAAAATTTTTATTTTAAATATAAAATC